ATTAGTTAAAGTTATTTTGAACCTTTTGAAACGTCCCCAGGAGATTATTGACCCGTGTAGTTACCCAGAAAAAGATACACAAATAATATAGCCCAGCAAAAGTGGAGCATTGCAACTTGGTGCATCACACAGTTAGTACTGAAGTCTTGGACAGCTGTTCTGACCAAATACTTGAACTAACTCAAATTCTTCTCACAGAGATTTCAACTGACAAATGTTGCTATAACATAACATATTTGAATCCACCTGGTGAACACAAAGAGCCTGTTTCACAGAAAAGAGTGTAGTGTTGACTGATAGGAGGGAGGAGATTACCAATGGTGATTTATGTTTTAAATCAACTTCACTCAGTGTTTTCATGTCAGGAATATTATTTAGTTTGTTGACATTTTCCATTTCTTTCTGGAGAGATATTCCTGAGTTTATATACAGGGACTCTGCTGCTGTAAACATTACTGCTTCTGATCTGGAAACTAGTTTTCTTTATACTAACCCTGTTCCCTGGAATCCTGTCCTAAATTTTATTCTTTTTGGAAAAAAAAAATAATAAGGAGAACCCGATAAGTTGTACTGTCTTGACGAGATGAGATAAGTATATCATATAGCTGCACCCGATGAGAGAACCCCCACTGTCTCACCGCTCCACCCTCAACATGAGCCTCCAGAAACGTGGAGAAAAACCCTGCCTTCACACACAGCATGTGAACATTTGACTTGTCGGATGGAGTCCTGGATGCATGGACCGTGCATTCACACCGTTCGGCCAATCAGATGAATCCCCAGCTATACCCTCAGATTAATCGGGGTTACTTTGTTGGTTAGCCAGCATGATGGTAGAGGAAGACATAGGAATTGTATATGCGCACTTCAGTATTTGTTTATATATCTCAAGTCATATCGTCATCTCAATACTGAACAATGATATTGCACATCGCAGATTTTCTTCATATCGTCAATTGTACTGAAACAATTCTGACAAAATAGAAAAGCAACACTTGAATAAACCAGATCAGGTGGGGCAGTTGACAGCGTCAGTTTAAGGGGACATTCAGAGGTGTAAACAATAACTATAATATTTTTTTTTCTGAATAGAAAACGGATTACTTAGAGAAACCTTCGTGGAGTACCGCGGAGTCCACTCCAGTTCACTCGTGAAGTAACACGCTTGCAGGAAAAGACAACAGAGCAGCACTGAATAGCCAAGAGACGGCTCATCAGAGGAGTTCTGATGAAATTAGTAGCATTAGAGCATAGTTCAATTACACCTGGTTGCATCATTTAAGAGAAATGAAAACGGCAGCATTGGACAGTGCTTGGCTCCGCAAAACAACACCGCAGTGATAGATACAAGCGCGTATCTCCACAAACTACTATGTAATTAAATTTTGCCCTGCGGGACTCCATTAATAACTTATAATATAATGCACATTTCATTGGAGGGGGCCATCAGATGCGGGTGGGTTATTACGCTCTGGAGGAAGCACCTCCTGCGCTGGGTTTCTGCTCATAACAGTGTGTGAGAAAGTAACATAAATCAGACCAGGCAGTTTTTGGTGTTATGTTAATAACAATACTTGTAATTAGCTCCTGAAAATACTGAGGTTTTAATGAAGTTACACCACTTAAAGATGGGCAAAAAAAATCAGAGAGCTTGCATGTTCGTGTGTGTGTGTGTGTGTGTGTGTGTGTGTGTGTGTGTGTGTGTGTGTGTGTGTGTGTGTGTGTGTGTGTGTGTGCGCGCACATGCCCGAGGGTGATGAGCTAACCTTTGACTATCCAGCTGAGCGTTGATTAACCTGAGGGGCTGATGCACTCTTTCAATGTGACCACTGCTTTAATTAAAGTTCTGGTGTCTCACAGATACACACAGCTTCACACACACACAAACCTGTACACAACTGAAATGATATGATTAACCACTGTTTAGTGTTGTTTTTTTGCTTAACCTCTTACACTGTAACTTTCACTTATTAGTGTGTGTCCGGTCTGAACACACATACAACAGGTCACTGCTGTAGGCTCTTTATGAAGATGTGGAACATGATAAACATTATTTTACCTTATTAAATTTATGTTTCCTATCACAACATAACTGGGAAAACAAATTCTTTGTATTATAAGTAATTTTTAGTAGACAGAGTTGCACACACAGACACACACAGGAGGGGGCCTCTCTCCAAAACGGTCATAAAGAGCTTCATATAAAAACAACACCAACAGCACCAAAACAATTATAACTCAAAAAAAGAGACATGATTGGTTTCTTGTGAGTTGCTTGTAACTTTACCAGCCTTTAATGTCTCCTCACACAAGTGAATATTCTTAACTGTTTGAAATACAATATTTGTTCAGATTTCATCTCATGTGAGCGGATTTTTTTTTTTTTTTTTTCTTTCTTTTTTTGGATATAGGAGTTGTGGATCAGTTGGCAGACCTTGAGCTCGTTTCTCGCACAAGTCAGCTCCTGCAGGCTTGGAAGCAGAGGCATGTCTTGCTGAATAGACGTTTTTGAATGTGGTATGATCCACTTTGCACAATGGGTAGTGTAGCTGGTTGAATTGAATTGATTCGTTATGCATTCCAGACATGCTGAGGATTCCCAAAATGTGACTGGTTTGGCTGCTGTGGTGAGATTTTTGGTGAGCAGAGGGAAAAGGTCTTTTTTTTTTTCTGGTCATAGCTTATTCTCCTGTTTTGTTTCATTTATGTACTAAATAAAGAAAGTAAGTAACATTTTGTTTATACAGCACCTCTCACCTAGATTACAAAGTGCTAAAAGGTTAGAAGAACAAAAAATGAGTAAAAAAAAAAAGAACATTACAACAGGAGATATAGCGCAGTAGGAACAAAAACAATTGAGACATTACAAATTAAAACAATGTACATAATAACCCAAGCACAAAAAGAGAGGTCTTCAGCTGTGACTTCAAACACCCAAGGGAGTTTACTGTCCTGGGGGGGGAGACTGTTCCACAGCCTGGGGCTCAGGACAGCAAACACACAGTCTATCAGGCCGCACTGAAGGACCTGAGGGGCCGAGCAGAGGTGTAAGGCATCAGTAGTTCACTGATGTTCTCTGGAGCAACATTAGTTGGTTTAATAGATGAGGAAATGGATCATGAAATGAATCCTAAAATACGTCAGTAAGTATCAGTGGTCAAAATCACAAAATAAAATCATTTTAGACTTAGATTGCTTTCTAAGTTTTAACCATGTTTGAACCTAACTGTCTAAACACACAAATAACAACTACAACACGTTTAAGTCATGCTAGTTCCACATGTGTATGCAGTGGTTAGCGCTGTCACCTCACAGCAGCGAGGTCCTGGGTGTGAACCTGCCAGATGAGGCTTTTCTACGTGCAGGGTGCATGTTCTCCGCGTGCCTGTGTGGGTTTCCTCCGGCCTCCTCCCGCAGTCCAAAGACACGCAGGTCAACTGACGTCTCTAACTTTGCTCGTAGGTGTGAATGTGAGCGTGAATGGTTGTTTGGTTGTTTGATGCTACTTAATTCTTCTTAAAGATTGTTGATATTGTATTAAAGTATAAACACCATTGTATAATTATTATAATACCCCAGAAGATGGCGTGAATGGACTTTCTTTATTGTTGAGAATGAAGCAAATGTATCAGGTGTGTGTGTGTGTGTGTGTGTGTGTGTGTGTGTGTGTGTGTGTGTGTGTGTGTGTGTGTGTGTCCAGTGGCTCTTTGACAGTAGGAAAACGAATCATGTGTTCAGTTGTTACATTATACAGTGGGAGTCAAGGTCAGTCTTACAGGGCTGTTTACCATAGCAGAAACGTCTGCTGGCTGCCGCTCTGTGTGGGATTTATTGTTTGAGGAGAAAATGGTAAAAGCAGCATGCTGCAATCAGGGTCAAAGCGTGCACACACACACACACACACACACAAACAAACACACACACACAAAAGCAGAAAAACTCTTAAAATAAAAAAAAAAAAAAAAAAAGGCATAGCAGTGATGCTTCTGGATACTTTGAAAACTGGTCATGACCAATAAAGTCTCGTGTTTCATATAAGGCATTTTACCATCCGTACAGCTTTGCAGGTTGGTTGTTTATAAGACACACTCAGGATTAATTTTCATTATACAGGCTATTTCCGTTTCAGTGTCGTTAGCGTGCTTGATGATTAGCGCTGATCACGACCTCAGTGATTTTAATGGGCTTCAATTGTGCACGGCATTAAGCTAATAGGCTATAATTTGAAGCAATCAGCTCTTGTGAGAGAAAAATAAAGTATTATAAACATGGCAGACCGATCGAGACCATATCATGCACTTCAGGGATAATGTTTGCTGAAAGAAGATATCTTTAAAAAGATTAGAAATAAATCCTCCTTCTTTTTTTATGGGCTAATTGATTAGTCATCCGTTTTTATGCTCTGCCACTTCCCGGGAGTAGTAGTTGTGTTTGTTGACAGTGTGTGGGTGGGAATGAGAAATCTAAGAAGAAGATGGGACAGGATGAACCACCATTTCTCTTAGCTGTAATGTTTTACAAAAAAATAAGGGGACATATAAGGTAAAGAAAGTCGCATTTGCTGTGGGGGGAAAAAAAAAAAAAAATTGCAGCTCTGACCTTATATTTCATATTGCTCTACATCGTCCCTGAAGGTTCTTAAAATCCCGAGAAAGGATTTATAAGACACCTGGCCATCCATCTCTGAGAAGAAGGCTGTTTTCTATCGTGAATTCCTGAGAAAGTTAGCTGTGGTGCCAGTTTTTTTTTTTTTAAATCTTTCAGCAGCAGTGTGCCGATGTGTTTTGACAATGTTGTTTGTGACTGACGGAGTCCTCTGCTGAATGCATCTTCCCGTTGTGCTGCTGAAGTTTACCGGAGCTGTGAGTGACAAACTGACGGATAGAACCCCTCAGTTTTCCACTGGGTATTTTTCTACCTGGAACACTACAGTGGTGTGTGCGGTGATAAATTATTCTGTGCCCTCTCTCACTCTCCGTGTCTCTCTGTGTGTGCACCAGGCCCTTCCCGTCGGAGGACACAGCTCTGAATGAGGATGATGTGTACCGGAGCCTTGAGGAGCTGGCAGAGTAAGTATGCATTCCACTACAGACACCAACAAAAACAAAATAACAAATTATGAGATCACTGAATATTATTTTTTTTTATGCTCAAAATAAATACAGATGAATTCCTGGATCTATTAAGATAGATGCTCCTGAAAAGTCTCTTCGCATATTCAACACGCGACGTTTCAAACTGAACTGTGATTGCCACTTCTTCCAATTTCCTCTAACCGCCTAATTACATAAGCGTGGAGCCCTCTGTCACTCTGCCCGTTGCCATGGCGACAGCAGCACTGCTCTGGCTCTCGGCCCGGCTGCCTCCGTGGCTGTCTGCCTGACTTGGTGCATGTTAGGTGGGTGGGTGGGTTTTGCTGGGTGCGAGAGAGAGTCATAGGGTCTCGGGGAGCTGGCTGCGTTCCCGGCAGTGACAGCAGCTCGCCCCACTCAGATTAATGGAGAATACTTAGTTAACCGCCCTGAGATGGGTGTCATTCATCACAGGGAGATAGGAGGGAAGAGAGCGGGAGACAGAAAGGAGAGCACGCGGGCTGTAGATATATGCCTGCTGAATGCATGATTGTGATGTTCTTTAGGGGATGAGGAATGTGCTCTTGTTAGAGGAGAGCGCCAGCCAAGCAGGCTAATGCTGGATTAGAGCGCAGCTTAGCCAAACATGCAGCCCTGCAAGCTTGGAGCACAGGCCTTTACCTTGAAAACTGAACTCGGTGTTGCACTAAAAGGGAATACTAAAAAACATGTTGATTTAAAGATTTTATTAGCGAAAAAAGAAGAAAATGGTGAAAATGTCTTCATAGAAAGAAAACAACATACAGATAGGCTTTTTGTTATATAGCCTATAGCATGCTGCCGGGGCTTGCAGACTGTGAAGTGGGAGAGTTGTAGTGGGGGACTGAAGAAAGAGATGTGAGGCTGTGAGATCCTGAGGTGAGAGATACAGGTGCAGCGGCAAGCTGTATGCACGAGTTATGACTCTTGTACACATATTTATCTGTCATGAATAAACCTCCATAAATCTGCTTACAAATCGTGACTCGTAGCTCCGGATCTTGATATGAATCCATCGCATTTTGACTTTTCATTTGTATCTCAGTAATCCAGTGGTATCTGCCTGTACATCCAGATGTGCGTTGTCAAAAGCTAAATCCATCATAAAGAATTGTCACACACTGCTTATATCAATAATAGTTCAAGGATCCAGTGGCTATAGCTAGTGCATGGTATCCATAGCAACAAGAGTCACAGATAGCGTGTCAGCCTTAGTGTATTTTTTCTGTAGCTGATGGCATGTCTTTAATTTGCCTCCGAGCTCTTACATGTGAAATCTTCTCTGTCCACTATTGGGTTTAAGCCCCCTGTAACCATGGCAGCAGCTTCACCAGGAGCCTGAAGCTGGAGGAGTTGATCTGATTTTTTTGTTGTTTTTTTTTTTTTTTTTTTTTCCTGAAATGGTCAGTGTGTCGTAACATGGTGCTCTTTGTGTAACCTGCAGGTGCAGAGGGCAGGGGCTTATTGAATTAATCATGGCGCTCTGCAGCACGGCTGATCTTGACCTTTTACAAAGAACATGTATGCATTCCGTTTCGTCAATGAACTGACACATAATTGATTCATCAGCGGGTCCCGCACCTAATGCAGTTGGACACACTTAGCACATGGGCCACGTTAGCAATAACCCTGCTCCGAAAGACTTATTAATTACCCTGAAATATTGATGCACGCATGATTTACTATGAGTGCATGACTGAACTGCGAGAGTGAGGGAGAAGACAATGATGATCCTACCACAGTAATAAGAGTCATTTTTTATGCCTCCGTGCTGGCGACAACTGCGGCCCGGGGGCATTACGTTTTCAGGTTACTTAAACTCTAACACCTTGAGGAAATTTCTTCAAATTCGGTACAAACATTCACTTGGACTCAAGGATAAACTGATTAGATTTTGGTGGTCAAAGATCGAGGTCACTGTGAACGCACGAAACACATTTAATTCAAGGATTCCCATGCTAATTAACTGGAGTGGCTGGCGGAGGCATACGGCCACGAGGCGGTAATTCTCGTTTATGGATGTTTTACTTTCTAAGAGCCTCCAAGAGGAAGCGAATGAGACAGTAATAGGACATATGGTCTCATAAAAACAACAGCATGTAAGGAATAAAAAACAATAGTGTCACCTGAAATATTTAGTGTGAGCAAATAAAGCTGCGTGGAGTAAAACAGAATATCACAGCTAACAATAAAAATCGATAAAATGGCATCATTAAGTTCAGTGGTGAGACGACAAAGGATACTAACGGCTACGGACAGCGATCGATATAAAATGGATTTTGGGGTGAGATTTAAAAACAGAGATCATGCCAGCGGACCGAATGTTAAATGGAAGATTGTCGCTGGAGCCATGCAGCTGAGGATCGATCAGTATGGTTTTTTTTTTTTCTTTTGTTTGTTTTCTTATCTGGAGCACCAAAAAGACTTGGTGAACTGGTGAACCTCAGGGGACTCTGAGAACAGCTGGAAGCTCAGTCTTCACCGACGTAATCATGGTGTCCGTTTCCCAAAGATGCGCTACATGCACGCAGTGTGTGAGGGAAAGTTTGTGTTTGACACCTATCATTTTAGAGGTCACTTACCTTTCTGGATGATCTCCATATTTACAACATCATGTCAGAGGAATTTATGTCCTGTGAGGTGGATTGAGGCTTTAGGCTGTCAGTATGAGCTCACCTGGAAACCGCTTCTCTAAATGAGCAGTATGGAGATTCTGGGATGGGGTGCATGGCATATATTTACAAAGCAAGCACCTCTTTGCAGTTTGCTAGACCCCTATCTGTTTGCAGGAGTGTCTGAGTCAGGTAGAGGGCCAGCCTCCACCTAATTGAGGTCTCCCGGGTTAATATGGTAAACCTGGTTCCTACTTCCTCCCTCTGGCTTTGTGATTTCAAGTCTTCACGTTGCTTAACTCGGAGTCCGTCTGGAATGACTCCATCCCGGAGTTGACAAAGCATGAAATGGGAGTGGATCGGGCACAGTCGCCAAGGGACTTCTTTCCTCTGCGAAAGACACACACGGATTTACATTCTGAAGCAAACAGTGTCAAAAGCCCTTTGTGTCACTCTTTCGCAGTTCGTTTTGCTCCATTAATCCCTTGGGCAAGCTGACATGAAAAATCAATAACTTCAAAATGGATGGAGCTCAGTCTAGGTTATTATTCACTGCAAGGTATGAAGTCACATACTTTTTTAATGAAACTTTTAATTAACCACACGAACACTATCTAGAGATGATATAGTGATATTTGCACATTCCGGAGGCCTTAGACATGTACTCTTATCTTTGGCTTTTAGGGTTCTGTTTTAATTCATCCTCTTAACACATACAGTGTGGTAGAATTATCATACTGTACTGGAGCTCCCACACACAGTACATCAACTTCCTATATAAAAGAAACATAATATTATTCTAATAGAAACCTGTAAGGCAGCCAAGCCTTTGGGGACATATGCTCAGTAGCTCTGGTGAGTCATCCTCCGCCCCTGTTCTCCACTGATGTAACTCGATGTCATTGAGGGCTGCGAGCAGAGGCTAGCGGGGACGATTGCGTGCAAAACACACTGGACACCCTTTGGCCTGTCACTGTGTAATCAGACAGAAAATTAGACCTAATTCACGAGACCTCGGGACTCTGCTCCCACTCGTTATCTCACTGATGCATTGTGATACATGCACATGCGCACACCTACACATGCAAGCGCACGGCGGGCATGAATTAGTTTGAATGAGTTATTAATGACCACTAGAGCCAAATAGACAAAGCGGTATACATAGAAAAGTGTCACCACGCTAGAAGGACAGATGTCCCTTACAACCCACATACAAACACACACACACACACACACACACATGCACACCTGACAGCTTGAAATGTTAAGAATCAATACTACATGCCTGAATAATTAACATTAACATTTATAACCTTGAACCCAAAAAAAAAAAAAAAAGGACGAACTTTTGTCCTCGGGTAGTTGTCTGTTTCCTGTGAATCACTTGTGCGTGTGAATGGTGGACTTTACCACTAACAATCAATGACAGAGTGGCCATCGGGAGAGCCGAGACTTTTCCCAATGGGCTGCCGCACAAATTGGGCCGATGGCTCAATGTGGGGGGAACACAAAAAAAAAAAAATAAAAAAAAACATTAGGGAGAGACAGAGAGCGAGCAAGAGGGAGCGAGATAGATGCGGCTGCTATCACGGTTTAAACACAGAGGCTGTTGCTGCCTCGTTTTACATGAAGTTTAAAAAAAAAAAGAAACATAAAGGTCTGATTGAAAAGCTCGCTCCCATTTCACAAGAAAGTTACAATATTCTTTTAGTACATCAAGGTCATGATTAATAATGATGAAATGAAGTGCAATAAAATAAGGTCAAACATAATACAATAAACCTGCCGAGTTCTTACCATCACTTTGACTAACCTGAGCCATAAAACCGAGGGCTAACCCTAAAACAGCCCTTTGAAAAAGTGAAGAGGAGCGAAAATAGGAATGTGTTCTTTGTCCAAACTGTCCTCAATGTCGAGGTCTAAAGCTCACATCGGTCCCCACAATACACTAGCACAGACACACACACATCTCAAGCGTATAAAGCCATTGAGTTTTTTTTCAAAAACAAGCATGTCATCTTTCATCAGCAGCACCTTTTTTTTTTTTTTTTGATTCTGTGAAACCCAGAACAAGAGGCAGTGTAGTTCAGGTTTCTAAATATGTTATTATGGGCTTCGTTATAGTAATATACTCGTAGGATCAATGCATATTGACAGTGAAAACAGTCAATCACTTCAGAAGCTGATTAATAACATCACCAGCTAGAAATCTGAAGGTAGGTTAACGGTAGATGAATGATTTAAAACCATCAGGAAACGTGAACACTAGTCATTAGACTACTGATTCTTCTGGCTAATGAGTAATCAGTTGTGTCAATACAGGTTTTGGATCAGTAGAGTTACTTCAGCAACAGGAAACTCTCTCCTGAGTCTGTGAGGTATTCAGAAAAAAAATCAATGCAGATAATGCATTAGAAGAAAAGCCAGACGATTAGAAATGGGGGAGTAATCAACATTCAGCAGTTTTAATTGAAACTAAACATTTGAAAGAGGCACATTTGAGACCGACAGATAACCAGCAATAGCACCAGCTATTGGGGATTAGTAAAAAAGAGAAAGTCAAAATTAGAAAGTTGAAAAATGAAACCAGCCAATAGGACGCTTTCCCTCAAACCCGATGAGCCCTCAAACACATCAGTGCAAAGCAGTGATTAATCAGTAATGAAAAAGCATGACATTATAAAAGCAGGAAAAGGTTAAACTTCATGACTGGGCCAAAGGAATATTGGACAATGACAAAATAACCAACTGGGAAAGAAGAAGGGGCTTAAATGTCATCACTAATCAATAAGATATTTCCCTCTGACAAACTGGAGATCAGTAGATATAGATGATGGAAAGCAAGATAAAATGATTCTGTTCAGTTTTTCTATTTTCTATTCATTGTTTTTGCTTAATGTTTTTCTGTTCTTATGATATTTACTAGTTTAATACAAAATAAAAAAAAGCCCTTCAGCTGTTGCTCCATGCTCTCCCTGGAGATCCCGCCCCTCTCAGATCTCTCCACGGGTCACATTCATATCGCTGCACTAGCACGCCCTCACATAATACTGTCTCTGAGGGATTAGAGGGGAGATGAAATACAACATCTGTGTTCCCAAAAACTTCTCCTCCGTGCAACACGTCAGTCTCTGCGGGAGCGTGCCGCAGCCTCCGAGTTCAGAGAGGAGGCTGATGGGACGGCGTCGGCTGGCCGCTGTCCTCCCACACAGCCTCCTCAGTATTCAGCATGAGCCACTTTTGCTTGATGAAGAAAGAGGAAGCACATAGCTGAGAGTGAACCAAGCCACCTCAATTAAAACTTCAAACACCCAACCCCCCACCCCCACCCCACGCAAAAGCATGATGACAAAGCTGAATATTTGATTTAGGGCACTTCTATCTTCTCTCAATTTTTTTTATCCCCCTTTCACACAGACAGTGAAAGGAGGAATATTTTAGACATGGTGGCAGATGTAGAAGGTCACACGTTGCCGTGTCACTGTGGAGAAAATTCAGCAATCTGTGCCCACAAATCTTCTTTTAGAATATTCATGAATGAACAAAGTATATAAAACCCTGAGAAAATATCCCATTTCAGGGAACTTAAAGTGAAATTACATCTTCTGATCCGAACCTGCTTGGTTTGGTCCAAGGACAGATGTGTTATGGCTCCCATCGGGCAGGCAGGGGTGAAGTGTATCTTCCTCAAGAATATTCAAACAGGTAGGTTTACTCGCTGGGGGTCATAGGCAGATATATTTGGACGAGGCACTGCTCATCGGAGAACAGAAATCCTTCTCTGTCATGCCATCCCTTCACCCGGTGATTATCTGGCTTCAAGTGACCTCCTCAAGGACATTTAAGCACGATGGACACGTGCCAAGCTTGAACTCTGGTCCTTTTCTCAGCAGGTGGAGCAAGTTGGCACCTTTCACAGTGTAATCTCTACTTATTTATTTATTTATGATGAATATTTATTTATTCATGTATCACATATAAATGAATAAATGGCATATTTATTCATTGATGTGTAAATATGATGTCATATTCATTGATTCATTTATGACAAGACATTTTTTTTCCCACCATGTAAATAATTCATGTCAGCCCAACTTTGATACACACTCTTATGGAAAGCAGCAATTCTAGCCGACTTACAGCCCGACTTTCACAATAAAATCAGAGCGAAAACAGGATGCACATCGTGGACTGTGTTTCTACCCAAAATGATTGTCATGTGATCTTTTTGCCAGATCGCCAAACCCCTAGCGCAACGTTGACGTTTTGCAGCAACAGGCCGAAGAGGGGAGCGGTCTCAGTGACCTTTTGACCGCCAACATCTAATCAGTTCGTCCTAGAGTCCAAGTGAGCGCTTGTACCTTCACGAGAATGGGACATACGGACGGTCAACCCAAAAAACATAACACCTCCGGGCCACAGCTGCAGGCATTAATAACAACGCGGCTCGAGCTGTAGGCCTCAGCATAACTCATTTAATCGATGGCACCATCATACATCAGCTGTCTTCACCACAATAAAATTGGGGTGAATGAAATTTACTATAAACAGACAAACAGTTGCCAACTTTGATCTGTGGTTCTCCATTATTTATCAGGCAGCTCTTACTGCCTTTATTTGTTTACACTATTTAATCATTTATTTCCTTATTTCCTGTGACTTAAAGCTCCCTGTTGATTAACTACATCGACATGGGCCCACTGCCAAAGCGTTTTCTTGCTGATGCGTCTCCGCTTCCTCGAAAAAGTTTCCCCAAACAATAATTGCTTTTGCAGAACAGAGGGGAAGTACAGCGCGAGCTCCTGGAGCAGGAGCCTCTTTCCCAGAAGATGCTGTTCTCCACAGTAACCGCCTGAGCTCTGNAATCATTTATTTCCTTATTTCCTGTGACTTAAAGCTCCCTGTTGATTAACTACATCGACATGGGCCCACTGCCAAAGCGTTTTCTTGCTGATGCGTCTCCGCTTCCTCGAAAAAGTTTCCCCAAACAATAATTGCTTTTGCAGAACAGAGGGGAAGTACAGCGCGAGCTCCTGGAGCAGGAGCCTCTTTCCCAGAAGATGCTGTTCTCCACAGTAACCGCCTGAGCTCTGCTGGCTGCTGGCCTAATTAAAGGTCAGTCAGCTAGCTTGGTGCCAGAGCAACATAAACTCATTAAAGGGAAATGCCACTCAATAACGCAACACAGCGGAGGTTTGTGAACGCCGGGTACTGTGTCCCCCTCGCCTGCGACAGTATCAGTCATCAGGAGAATGAGCTCGTACTGGTTTGACCGCAGAGTGCCTCTCTGCCGTCAGAGGAGTTTAAAAGGACGTCTAACATATGTGTGTTCTTGTGTGTGTTTTTCCCCAGTGAGCATGACTTGGGTGAGGATGACATCTATGACTGCGTGCCGTGTGAGGACGATGGGGATGACATCTATGAGGACATCATTAAGGTGGAAGTACGACAACCCATGGTGAGAACTCGGCCCTTTCATCCCTGTGAATGTTTAATCAGTTATCGATGATGTAAGTGTCTCAAGTGTTTACCACATTGTGAATCTTATTCCGGGGTAAAGGTCTGTGACGGACAATGTGCGGGAATTTTTCTTTTGCATGATTTCATTTTCCTTCACACCTGTTTACCAGATGTCCATCGGACAACACAGTATTTCTGAATGTCTTTCATGACTGGTGGTAAATGTGACTTCTGACTTGCACTGCTTTGCCTCTCTCACGCTGCTGCAGATCAGATACATGCAGGTGAGTGCTGCTGTGTTTGTGACTCACCCCACCCTGTCAGCTAACTCCCCTCCACCGCTTCATTTAAAAGGAACTCATAGCATCCCGAGTGAATAACCTGCCAATTAGTTTAGTGACCCGTGCGTAGAGTTGGGGGGGGGGGGGCCCCATCTGGTCCACAGGTCTGACTCAGGGCCCTTTGGAGACGTCTGTGACTTCATCTCGGTGACTACAACGTTAACCTGACGTCAGCGAGGACCAGCAGCTGCCACATGGACGAATAAACATTGTCCTGCTGGCTTTCGGTGCCGGTTCTTATTGGTTGATTAAATGCTGGCTTGTATTTTTTGCAGTGTTATTGCCAGTTTCTGTATTATCAGTGCCTGGTTATCAACAGCGGAAATCTGTTCCAGATGACTGTTCACTCGTATCACTACCACAGCGTAGAAAAAAGCCCCCTGTGTGTGCGTGTGTGTGTTTTTTTTTTTTTTTTTTACCAGGGTCTTTAAGGTGACTCACTTATAATATGCATTCCAGCATATTGTTCTTTGAGAGAATCAACATGCATATATACACACACACACACACACACAGACATAAGGCCTCAAGAGAAACGCTCTGTCTAGATAAGTTTGTATCTTTTCCCCCATCCTCCCCCGCTCCCTTACAATATGCAATCTGCTTAACAACCGTGGATTCATCTACATATACTGCACATACATACATACACATGTAGATGAAGCCGAGAGATCTTAATCTCACTGCCTGATTAAATAAAGATTAAATTAAAAAATATATATATATACGCCCGCCAGCCCACACATACATGCACATATTCTCACATGCTTCCCTCTATCCACAAAGTCATCACCGCCTCACTGTACTCGAGCCGTGTCAGCAGCTGCAGTCCGTCAGTCTAGGTGAACATTTCATTATCATTTCTGAAACCAGATAAAATGCTTTAATTAACAAGTGTACGGTCTAACCTTTTGGATTTATGTTTTCCTTCTGTTCCAGCAGATATTTCTCTCCACTAATTTCCCAACAGTATGAAAATCATTTTTGCAAAGCCAATCAGCCATGTGCTCAGAAGTCTCTGGAAACAACCCGGACACCTAGAAATTACCTTTCTACACAACTAAACTGCAACAGCGACTACGTTTTGTAGGAAACACGATGGATTACGTTTTCTATTACATAATCAGGATGTTGATACTGAACATATCAGCAGAAAGTTCACAGACAACTTTTGTTGATTCCACCAAAATATTGTTTTGTTGTACAATATCCACTTGAAGTGGCTACAGCATTAACAATCTTTGATTAAACAGTGACTTCAGACAAAACATATTTACATTAACAAAAACCACAGACTTGTCATGTTCCGTCAAGGGGCGGCTGAGACTCAACATGAGTAACAAACAAACTAATCCATTTGGAAACAAAACACCAACAGACCCTACCCAAATATAACGAAACCAAATTACAATAACTAACCTCCCTAACTAACATAAACAGGAGAGAAGGTGGTGAATCGAAAATAGCAGTAAACCCCTACTAACTCTAGAATACAGTAAAGCCCTAAATATGGCAAGAGTTACACAGATGCAGAAAATGGTGTGGCCGGTTGGGACAGGAGGTAGATGAGTTTCTCTCCTTGCAGCTCAGCTGCGCCATCTGACAGGAGCCAATCATCTGCGAGATCCCATGTTGTCCACCAATCACCTCCTCGTCCTGGCACACACCTATTTGCGTACACACACACTCATTCACACGTCATGCCAACTTTCATGCTACAGGAAAAAAAAAAAAACATGCACAACCAAAATAAAAACAATACGACTGTAGTTGTAACACCTGACCTTCACCAAAGTGTTTTTGTTGCCTGAACCACAGAGCCCTGGATATGAGCCCTGGTCTCTGATGTGACAGTTTGCACTTTGTAACCTGCCATCCACCCCAACCACCTGCTAGTGGCTCCATTGCTGTTAATAAAAGTAGCATTCATTCAAAAAAATATGTTCCCTCTGAACATGAACTGACCAGTTATTATGTTTCATATCTGCTGTTGCAGTGTAGTTGTATATTAAAGTAATTTCTAGGAGACAGGGCTGCTGGGGAAGCAGTACTGATAATGAGTGGACCTGAGCTGTCGAATCCATCACACTCACTTTTGTCAGCGTTACATTATGGTTGCATTGTAATGCAGATTAAGTGTAAACCTACTGGTAAAGTTTGCACTGTGGAATCTCTAGTAATACAGTTTGATGGATTACAAAACTCAAGTAATGTTACAGAATCTGACAATACATTTCCATACTGTCTGAAATAAATAGAAACAAATTGGTGCCTGAAATATATTAAAACTTCCAATCAGTAGTGTCACTTTGAATCTGCATTTTGCCACACAATTCTTACAGCTTTTAATATGAATGTTATTTACATGAAAAATCCTCCCTGATGATGCAAAAATGGCAAACATTAATCATTAAGACAGGACTATGGTACAAATTAGAGTTCATAAATTATCATAAAGTCCAGTTGTCCTGATTCATTTCATGTCTCATCACTGTAGAAAATGGGAATGACAGAAGATGACAAGAGAAACTGCTGCTTAGTGGAGATCCAGGAGACTGAAGCAAAGTACTACAAGACTTTAGAGGACATTGAGAAGGTGAGTGTGCGGGTGTATTGATACGTGTGCGTTCTTATCCAGGTACGAACGATGCTGTGTCACAGTTTCCTTTTGTCACTTCTTCTTCCTCGGAGTCTCGGGCCTGTGGTCGGGTCACAGCATGGAAATGTTAGCTATTGGCAGATTGATTTGGGAGCACAAATGTCACAGGAGGTGATCGATACAGTTATTATTGGCTCAGCCTCCACAAGAGACACTGATCCCTGAGGCTTTAAGTATACATGAGCGCACACACACACACACACACACACACACACACACACACACACACACACACACGCGCGCTTTGCTGTCAACCAGTGTTTTGGAAGGTGTCCAAAAAAAAAAAAACAACTAATACAATACTTCCTAAACAATACATATATTACATCTCCCGAAATTGTGAGATGAGAATTTTACATTATTTTCTAAAAGTCATAAACGTCCCTCCCTCTCACTGGTACATTGTTCTTCATTTCTCTTTGTTTCTCCATCTTATTTGGCAGAGGTTGTGATATTCTGATGGTTATCCATAATAGAACAAGAGTCTCAGCATGTTTTCCAATAAAGAGCTTTGACAGGTTGCTCGTGGAGTCTGCTGGTGGAGACGCTGGACATATTTTACTCTGACATTCTGATTGTGTACAGGGGTGTTTGCAGAATGCAGAGCATCAAGCCTCCTCTGACATTTTCCTCTTTATTCACATTGCTCCTTCCTGAACACAATATTTTTTAAGAGGGTAGTGAACGCACACATTCTTTACACCACTCTTGTTCTCTACACGACACTGTTCTCTCTCGTCTTTGCACTGCTTGCTTTGTCTTTGCACTATTTTTGTCTTGTCTTTGCACCGTTTTTGCCTCGTTTTTGCATTTTTTTTTTTAATCCTATCTTTGCACCGTTTTGCCTTGTCTTTGCACTGTTTGTTTCATTTTTGCACTGTGTTGTTTTGTCCTTGCACTGTTTTTGTCAGTTTTATCTTGGGCACTTTATGTTCATATGTTGTCCGCCTTGTTGGTACCATTGGCCCTAAAGAATGCATTTTCATGTCTACTGTGTACTTGTATATGAATTGGTTGTGAATGAAATTCTCTTGAGGGAAGAGAGTCGTTCATCTCACTGCTGCGTTTGCTCCTATGAGATGTTCATACTGTATGACAGCAGAAGCACCTGCGTACCCAACCATGTCTGTTTTGGAGGATATCGGGGGGCTTCACTGAATTCACTTACTTGCTAATTGCTTAGAAAATGTTATTACAGCAGCATGTTACGTCGGACATCACTACCCTCAACTTTGCTGCCCACAAATGCCGACAAAGTCGAGCAGCTTCCCAGTAAAACATCCAGTCCTGTGTTTAAAGCATCATAAACTCACAGACGCACACCAGCTCTGTGTGGTAATGAACCATTGTTAAGATCAGTGTTGCCGACACATCAGTTTCCATGTTGACAGATTTCATTCGCGATTTGATGGAGAGCCACAAATCATCCGCTCCACTAATTTCATTAAACTAAATGTGTACCGTGCGTTTCCCACATCGGACCAACACGAGACTAAATTGGAATAAATAACCTTCTTGTGATCAGAGGACTCGTTAAGCTTAATTGAGTTGGGGTTAATAAAGCCTGTCATCTCTTCATTGCTTCTTAGTTGATCTATTTGCTATTATTATGATGATGGAATGTGACAACCATAAAACAATGTTAGAGAAATAACAGGCAGGTTCTTTCTTCTACACGCATCCAGAACAGCTGTACAGTGTGTATTTATGGCTCGCTCAGTGTTATAGCCTGAAATTAAATAACCCCACACACCATGTGAACAGCACTGTAGTGCCTCCATCTTTTATAGTTTAGCCTGGAATTGGTGTTCTTTGTTTCTGCCGCTAACTTTCAGTTTTGTGTCCTCAGATCTGCTAAAAGCTTTATCATCATTTTATCGGTACATTTGTGAGAAGAAAAACTATAAAGTCTGAGTTTGTATTTCATACTTTGAAAGAAATCTGTCCATCTGCTCTTAAGAAAAACACATTTTCACTGGCTCGTCTCTTGTTTTTCTTCAAGAATTACATGATCCCGTTGAAGCAAGTCTTAAGTCCACAGGATATGGAGGCTATCTTTGTCAACCTGGAGGTGAGCACCCGCTCAAGCAAGGAAAAAGATTTCTGTACAGCACGCCTGGATTTGTCGCACACCAACTGATTAATTCAATATGTGTATGGATGGCTGAATGAATGACAGGATGTGTTGTGTATATATGTATAACCATGGGTGTTAACCGGGCTGTATGCAAGTTCACGGTTCAGTACGCGATTTTGGTGTCATGGTTCAGTGTTTTCAGCAGAGTGAGGGAAAAACTATTTCCTTTTTATACTTTTTGAAAAAAGCATAACACTAGCAATATTCTATATTTTTCTTATCATCTAAAAGACTAAAACCAACAATGAATTGATCCCACCAACAAGTATTTTATTTCTATATGCCATAGAGCTCCATTATTGTCGTAAAACTATTTACAACACATCAGCGAGTCGCACTGTTGCACTGGTTCCTTCATTACTAAGAACACAGCTACTGGAGTTTATTTCGAGTCAGTCCCACGTACAGTATCCTGCTGCTTTAAGTACTGGCTAGAGACTACAAAGGTGTGTTAATCCGCAGCTGAAAATAGTCCTCAATAGACACACTTTTATTTCTATTTGAGTAATGTTTGCTAAGAACTACAGTGTCCAGCTGTTTATATATATATATATATATATATATATTTTTGTAGCTTATACATTAGTGACCCATTTTTAAAGATTTATGCCTTGAGCAGAAATGGGGAATGAATGGGTGACAGTTGAGGCAGGGGATGTCAGAAAGGTATTGGAAGACGGAATAACACATTGTTGGTTTTGGTCTTTTCATGAGAACTGTTGACAATAAGAAAGATGTAGAATAATGCCTGCATGTTCCATTAGATAGCAGGCTATAGTGGACAACAATTGATACTCCACAGACTTTACAATGTGAATGTTTTATTTAGATTCTGCTAATGCCAAGACATGGACTGGAATTCACTACATTATATCACATAGCATAAAATACTGAATACATGTGGTGTTGCACGACTAATGTGCTTAACATCCTAGGAAATAACTACTTACACTATGTATACATCTGTTTATGTATGTAACTCTCTGTAAAGGAGAGAATAAGAATGAAGCTTATAATGATTCTCATATTTATTGTGATTTTTGCTCAGGATGTAATCAAGGTCCACTTTGCCCTCCTGCGAGCCATCGACCTGAACATGGTCAGCGGAGGAAGTGGCCTGGGGAAGATCTTCCTCGACTTCAAGGAAAGGTTAGTAACCTTGAGTTCAAATGGAAATGGTGGAAACAGAATTTTTTAATTCAGGAGGCTGCATCAAGCTGAGTATCCCCAGCGTCGGAGGTCTTGATGGGATTATTGTTCAAAGAATAAGTCAATTAAAACAAAACGTGTTAGAGGGAAAAGCTGAGAGAGCATGTAACCAATTGTTCCCCATTCAACCAAAACAGTCAGAGTGACTCCTTTCAAGATCACATCAGCTGGTCACGGTCACGTTCCTGTACTGTTGTCTTTCCTCTTACTCAACCGTCATTTTATCTGGTATGCAGGGATCATTGTCTGCAAACCTAACAAAGCTTCAACTTTTCAACTTGTGAAATGCATTCCTCTAGCGTCACCTCAACCATCCTCTTTTTATCAAGTACGTTCTGTCTGTGATGTCAATTTTAAATTTGAATCCCTTAAAATATGTGAAATAAGTATGTTAATATTCTGCCATTCTAGTGCAGCTATTTGCCTTATCCAGTCTGTTTCAAAAACTGACAAGTGCATTTCTACTGGAAACGAGCTGAAATGAATATTGAAGCCTTTTTAGGACGGTAATCACTTTATGATCAAGATATTTCTGCAGTATTTGGATTAGAAAACACATCAAACGGGGAAAGCTGAGGCTTTTTGGCGAGCAGAGTTTCGTCTCAGACGGGGTCTCCATCGTGCCCAGCTGCTGAGCAATGTGTGGATAATTTGCATCCCTGAGGGGAGCAGTGATTTGCCTCCCTGCTGTGCGTGAGTGTGCTGCTTCATAGGTAATGGTAATGATGGTGATGATAGGTTCTGGCCCCAGTCATGATTCCATTCACAGCTATGGATATGCAGCTCTCCTCGAATGATACGGCCATTTCTGCGAGAGTGAGTCACACACTTCACTTTGTGTGGGTGTGTGTGTGTGTGTACTTGTTCTTGCATACATAAGTACACATTATATTTTAACCTGATCGCACACTTTTCTCCCTCGTCATCTTCCTTCCAGCCTGAAACAGGCAGTCACAGTATTTCTGTGGGTGATGTCAGTCTGCATAGGTAATAGGCTCATCGCAGGCCTCTTCCTTAAGCCTAGAGGGCCACGTAACGCAAAGTCAGTGTGACACAAGAGACTCCCTTCCTATTAATAGAGAGAGGCAGGCACATACTCTGTCCCTCTATCTCACACACGCATGCACACGCTCCTACTGTATCTCCTTCCTCGTTTAGCTCGTCTGACTCTCTCATCTGATTGAGCAGTGGTTTGAAGTCCTCTTTTTGCACGCAATCCCAGAGAGTCAAAGGTCCCTGTAAAGGACTGGGAGGTTGTTACAGTAAAAGCTCAGGAGACGTGGCTGGAGATGCAGAAACGGGGGGGGGGGGAATACAAGAAGAGAGTTCAGCAGAAGCATCATTTATATTGTTTATTAAGTAGATATAGCTACTGTTTTCGGCTAATGAGAGTGCTTTGAGCCCTGTTTTTGAGTGTTCTCTGTAAAAACGGAGACAAATTGGTCAAGAATAATTTTTCTTGATATTAGCATAAGATTTTTTTTTAGGTGGCTGTCATTTGGCCTTTGTTTAACATTTTTTTTCTACTTTTTAGCTGGACTGCAAAAGCAGGGCTAGCCCTATAATCTGGAATGTCTCTGACTGACTGACTGACTGACTGACTGACTGACTGAGTGTTGATATTTCTACCACGTCTTAAAATTAATGTGTTTGGTGATTTTGTCAGATGATGTCACAGTTATAAAGTCATGATTTTTGATGGGGTTGAGGTCAGGGCTCTGCGCAGACTGAAGTGTAGTTCTTTCACGCCAAACTGGGAAGCCATTTCTTCATGGACCTGGGTTTGTGCACAGTTACACTGTTATGTTGTATTTTGAAATAGTTTTTTTCATTGTTTTCTGTAAGACTCAGTTGTAGCCAAAAGTAATGAATCTGAGTTAAAATAGATTGCAGTTGTAATTGAGGACCACTGAAGTAAATCAAACCACAAGCATCCATCAAAATAAATAAATAAATGAATAACAATACTTAAAATACAAACCAAAGAAACCAAACCAATCCAAAATTGTGATGTACCTGCGTGATACTCAAATACCTTTATAAAAAGGGGGCATGAGAAAAAGAAGACAAACTCTCCCAAGCTTGAATCACTGTGTGCTGTGGCATTAAGATTTCTATTTTATGTGGAGCTAAACTGCCCCTCCCAAACCGTAAAAAAGAGCCGCAGACCAAAAGTACACCTCCACTCTACCTGATTGTTTTGTGATGGATTCTAACCTTCTGTCTTTGACAGAAATATCTAACATTTACCGTCTATTCATAAACAAATTTGCTAATGATATACCACCTATTGTTCATATTTACCCTCTGCGACATTTTCCAAAATGCGACGCAGGGTTATTTTGAGAAACCGATTCATTAGATTTGCAGATTCTGTGCGTCACAGCCTTTGATTCCCTGCATGTGATTGACATGTATACCTGCCTCATTATGAGTCCCTGCGGTGACCAGTGAGGATTTGGACTCGCACATAGCACCGCTCTCATCGCGCATCTTGGCAATTTTCCTGAGGACCTGGCTAGGCATAAATAATTTGGTTCTCTGTGCTTGTAAGTCTCTGTGACCTTTACAACAATGTGCTTGTATCTTTTTTTCCCAGATCAGTGCAAAAGAGGAAAAGCTTCTTTTTTTTTTTTTTTTTTTTTCAATTTGTCATTGAACTGAATGCCATTCTGAAAATGTCACCGATTTATCTCGACTACTTCTCAGTTCTTAGACAGCCAGGACCAGGCTGAATGGAAAAGCTCACTCAGAGAACGCTCTATAAACTAAATGGGCATCTAAGTACCCTCTTGTTGATATCCTCATTTGCGACATTCCCGAACTCATTTCCGGAGTAATCTGGCTCCCGGATCTCCTCGCAGTGCCCAATCATGGCCTCACTCTGAGCCTCCTTATTGGAGGTCCTCGCTCCATGTTCTCGTCCATATTCTGTGTGCTGCGTATGCCGAGTGGAGGTGAGGGGGTCCCAATGCCATGTGTCAGAGAATATTAGCTGGTTCCACAGCCTGTCACTTCTGGTTTGCTGGGAGATTTCCTCAGTCGCCTGACTTCACTCACGGGGCTCGGCGAGGGTGTGGGGTGTGGGGGGGGGTGGGAGGGGTGAAGGCCCAAGGCGCCGTTACTCAAAATTGCATTTTCTGTGAAATAACATGCACGACGGCGTCCTCATTATGAAAGAGGCCAGCACAGCAGGGCGATATCAGTGCCACTGAAAGGAATATTAACAGCAAGTTTTTACTGCACCAGTGAACTCTCCAACCCAAAGGAAAACTCTCACACAGCTCTGCAGTTCAGAGGTTGCTGCATTGCTTCTCCCTCTGCTTATTCTCTCACCTGTTTGCAAACCTTCTTTTCCAATTTTTAACTGCTTTTCTAATGGTACTAGAGAGCATTTGTTAGTTGGTCCTACAAGGAGAAAAAAAAAAAAAAGTCATCTTTTAAATGTGAAGTTCCTCTCTAGACATGTTTTAAACTATGTAAATATACTCTGCTATGATTAATATTTTGTTTAACGTGTTGTTTACCTGATGCTTGCACTAGGGTTGACAGGTGAAAGAGCAGTGCATATCAAGATGGTTAGCAGAGGAAACATTGGAGACTCAGCCGCATGTTTGAGCCTCAGTCAGACACAGATTCAGATGAGGAGCCTGTTGTGACCAAAATCAGCAACTAGCAGACGTATCAGAATGGTTAGCGTAGTTAGCAACTTAACTTTTGTTTGTTAGCTCGCAGCAACTCTCGCACTCTGTACTGACAAGGTTTCGGGTGTATTTTGCCCCTGTCCCCTGCAAGTTGACAGGATTGGTTCCTTAGTTGGCCCCCCGTATGATGTATGAGCCCCTGACTGTCTGAATCATTTGTTTGAGACTGTCATTGGTTCACTGCAGGTCCAAGGTGGAAATACGCAGTGACGGCGTTGATTGCTTATGTCGCTCATGATATGTCTTCCATTATAAAAAAAAAAAAAACATCATGTGGACATGTTAACAAGGTTAAAAACTTGATTTTCATTGGAGGCGGTCTTTAACAGTTTAAACTTAATTGGCCCCATTGTGCCGGTTCAGGGCCTGGGATGACTTTGTCTGTCTTGTCTCCCTGAACATATGATCCTCCTTCTGCACCTTCTATCTTTTGTTAAGAAATCACACCTTATTCATCTTTCTATTCTTATCAGTGAGAGAAAAATCCATGTTTACTCAAGGGCATAAAAAAGGTGGAAAAACAAGGCATTTTCATCATTAATGCTGTGCTGTAAAAAATAAATAAAATAGAACTTTCGTATTTCTCTTCAGTAGTTTTTCTGAATAACTATTCTGCATCAGATTTTTGGAGTGATACTGTGATTATTTTATATCATTTTGAAACTCTCAAGGTTACTTTAGTTATTGTAGAAAAGGCTGAGAAGGAGCTTTAATACTACCCTAATATTTGCTGTTTAATTAAGATACAGATTCAGAATTCAGAGTTATGTTTTTTTCCTCTCCCTTTATACACCACACAGTATATCTGACTACAAATATTCAAGCACAGATACAAAACAGGAAATGATGAGTTGTTACCTCCTGCTGCAACGTGTCCAGACGAGGTGTCAAATAAAGAGTGTACCTGTCACCGTGTCACGGACTAATTAGGGCTGACTGGGCCAAGAGTGGATGCATGCTGCCATGTGTTTGTGGGTCATTAGGCCTTTTGTTCCACTGCCCGTGTAAGGGAAGAGGACAAATCCTCTGGGTAGCCTCCCGAGCCTCAGATGAAAGACCGTTATTAAATGTATAAAAATATAACTAATTACCTTGCAATATAGCGTCGAAAGATCCAGTTGTTGATTAACTGTAGTTGTGTGTGATTGAGAGATCATGGGTGGGATGTTTTGATGCCAGAAATGCATGCTGTCATTATTGTTATTTGTTGTTTTTTTTCCATTAATCATCTTTAACTTTGAACTACAATGACATCCATACATATTGTGTTTTACTCCTCACCTTTCAAAGATGCAAAAAAACATGCAACTCTGATAAGAAAATAACAGGGATACAGTCATACTGTACAAACCTCTTTGCATGTAACACAACATGCACAGAATTCCCTGAAAAAAATAACAAGGATTAACATGTTAACAGTTAACAATTACACATCTTTCACATGGCAACAACATTAGCCTTTATTTGTGTTTGTCTAAATCCAGTATTCACTCTCCTTCCAGTTCTGGTTTGGTCTCCACCGGCTCTGGACAGGCTGGCCAGATGTTCAGCTTTCTCCAGCTGGTTGCTAACTTTGTACACCTGCTGTTCGGTGCTAAACAGGAAGCATACAGCGAGTTTGTCAGAGCTTGTTTGCTGAAAGCAGCTGCAGGAAATGTGGTCGAGAAAGCCGAGATTGAACCATATATAAAACCAAAGCTCTGAGCTACAAGAGACTAAAATGCCTCCCCGTCACAGCGCCAGTGGTGCTGGCTGACTTGATTGGACATGGGGTTTGTTTACTACAAGTGGAAAACCTCAGAAATTCAGCCTTCAGGCAGCGGAGAACGAGCCACTTGCTCCAGGCGCCCAGTGGTACACATGAAAAAGACACATATTCACAAGCGCACACACACAATTAAAGGATGGCCGTCTTTACAGCCCAGCCAGATAAGCATACAAATCACTCTTTTGATGATTTCCATTCACTTAGCTCTTGCCGTTGCTGTGAGAAAAACATCATTTTAGGTCCCTCTGAGCTAATTTTCCTTATTAAGATCACGCACTGATGAATATGAATGAAACTCCATAAGATCTAGCCTTCGTACATTGTACAACAAGGTGTCCTCAGGAGTAGCTCCTTTACCTTCCTCTTGTTCATCTTTTCTTTTCTCAAACTGCTGCATTGCAACACCAGCGGTTTGAGCCCTTTGCATTAGTGTCATGGAAAAGCTTCTTTAAAGAAGGCCTTCATGTCACATTACATCCCGATAACTTGCTATATGATGGGTGTCTCTGGCACGTGTCCCTGGATCCTCGCCGCACTGCACAGTCTGCCTGCTTTCTTCTAATTGATCAAGGTTCCCATTAATCTCAATCATTTTGTCGTCCTGGAGGAGCGGGAGCTAAGGGGAGCTGTCTCTCTGAGTGCGGATCAAGTCTTAATCAGCGGCTCTTTTTTTTTTTTTTTGCCCAGAGTCAGTTTAACCAGGGTAGGAGCCTCACTGCAGGGGGGCTTTAGTCAGAACTCTGACTGGGCTCCTGTGATCATCTCTGGTCGATCTCTGATGAATGTGTGATAGAAATGCTGCTTTTAAGGAGAAGATTTTGCCTCAGTGTTGAGAGTTCCACCTCTGGCGAAACATCACACTGAATCACATATTTACAGCCTCAACAGTTTAGACATATTTCAAGAGCAGAATTATTCATTTGAGGAGATGCTTTTGTATTAATAATTGAGATGTATAAGTTTGTACTTAAGTGTTTTGGGAGCAGCAGAGTCAAGCTAGGGAGTCATTTCAAAATCTACTTACAGCAATATTAAAGTAAGGCTTATTACACATGGTATTTGTTAGTATATGTATATACAGTATGTATATATACATATGTATACTTTAATGGAGAAACCATGTACAATTCTCCTTTTTCAGTTATTATTTAGTTATTTGGTTATTATCAAAGCGCTGTTGTCACTAGAGCTCCAGAGAGAGGCCTGAGAGAGGAGATGTAAAACTACATCGAGACGGTTTTTGGTTCTTAAAAACCACAAATATATCTTCTTATGGATCAACACTTCAAATAAAACACCCCGTGCTTCTCACAAGAGGACTACAGTGGACTATAGGTCAGGAAAAACAACACTTTTTGGGTGCATGAAGCCATAGAGTGTTTGAACCTGCTTTAAAAATAATTGGATATGCATATAAAACTTTGTCTGAACAGATATGATATAATATGATGTTCGCTGATTTGCTGCTGCTCTGTCGACAGCTTGTGTATATTATCACGTTGACCATATCTGGAAAGGTAGCTTCATTATGTGACCTGCTCCAGCGTGTTATTACACACATACAGCAAATGAAAATTAAGTATATAACATATTGGCGTCTATGTGTGTATACAAGTAGTGGAAAGAGGAGGAATCCATGTGATCTTGTAGTTTTGTTTTCTGTAGTTGCACCGCTGCTCCGTCACACAACCTTTCCCAGTGCTGCAGATCCATCAACTCCTCAGGGTGCCAGCCCTCTGCACCGCGTTGCCCCGTTCAAGATTCAGATTAAGAGACTGGAGTGCCAACTCCACCGGGGGGGGGGTTAGCACTATATCCTCCGTGCCAATGCCCTACTTTGAGTCAGTGAGTGAGAGGAATGTGTGCCACGTGCAGTGGCATCCTCCAGGCAGGATGACTTTGAACTCCCTCCCAGCTGAACCCACAGATCTGTGTCAGGGTCCCATTGTAATATCTAATGAACACATCTCTTATATCCTCACTGCTTGAAATTAAGAGTTTTTTTTTTTTTCTTTTTTTCCCACAACATGCTGATAAGAGGAACTCTGCAAAGCAACCGATATAAAGCAGCAGCTTTCATTAGTGCTCTGTGATTACAGCTTATTGGTAAAAGGATGCTGCCCCTCCAAATATTGCCCAGGGATCCGAATACAGCATTACTTATTCATGGTATTCACATATATCCCTAATCATAATACATTTATTTACATATTCGTTTAGCTGCCCCCCTATAGTGCCAAATGACTCTCAGGCTGACCTTTCAAATTGTGTTATTAATCTTAATATGAATACGCGGGGATTGCCTAAAGGCTCGATGACACTAACCAGTTCAGAGCTAATTGTGGAGCAATCTCTTTTGTCTCTATATTTCTTTTACAAAAGATTGGTTTTCCTCATTAACCCTCATTTTTAGATTAACCATATCCTAAGCCTTGAACAGTCCACATGCTCCCACACTCACAGAGGACAAAAACATCTAAATCACTATCCCAGCCATACATTTCTCTTGACAGACATTAATGTTTTATGGTTTAGAGCTAAAGCATTTGTGAGATGTGCTCAGCTGCAGTGGGACTTTTGGGAGCAGTGTTAATTTTGGCAGCTGGTTTTGATTTAGTTTCAGATAATGTGTAATAGTTGTAGTCAGATTGAAGTCATTTGATTTTTTGTTAGTTTCAGTCGACAAAAGCTAAAGACATTTTAGTCTGGATTTCGTCAGTGCCATGTTCGTCCCATTTTCATCATACGTTTTGAAATTTTTCCTTTATTGGATTTTGAGGCCAAAACTGCCACCATCTTTGTGTACAGTTACCATGGTTACAGGTGTCACCCTCTCCAGTAGTACAGACTGACTCACTCAGTAAGTCCTAGTTAGCTAGTGAGTTGTGCGGGTTGTGGCTCCAGTCTTTTTTTAAAGTACAGGGATAATGGTAGTGTGAGAAGCCTGGGATGTAGTTTGTCTCTTTGGGGAACAATGTGAAGAGGCTTGACAGAAGGAGCCATATGGTCAAACATTCACAGTTATTTTGTTGTCAAAATGTGTTAATTTCTCTCTACATTAAAATAAGGGAGATGAGTTGTTATTGTGTATTTAGACTGACAGTTGTTAAAATTTTGTCTTTCACCAGGTTGTTGATCTACGGTCAGTACTGCAGTCACATGGAAAACGCCCAGAAGACACTGGATGAGCTAATAGCAACACGTGAAGACGTCAAGATTAAAGTAGAGGTAATGTCCTTCACCTCTCAACCCGGGCAGCTGACAGCCACAGATTTAATGCGGCTCTTTAAACATGTTAAACTGTAGACTGTAAACGCAAACCAAACAAGGAAGGGTGAGCAGGTAGAGTTCAGCACATCTGGCTGAGACGGAGGGTCACCCGACAAAAACATCTGAAGCCACGACACAAGAAAGTGCACAACATTTTCTACAGCCCTCAACAGAGTACTGTATCTACTGTATGTGTGTAATAACACGCTGGAGCAGGTCACATAATGAAGCTACCTTTCCATATATACTCAACGTAATAATAATATCCACAAGCTGTCGACAAAGCAGCAGCAAAGCAGTGAATATCGTATTATATCATATCTGTTCAGATATAGTTTTGTGGTTTACTAATTAGAGCTGAAACGATGAGTCAATGACTCACTTGACAGGAAATTTGTATTTTGATAGTGAATTAATCCTTTCATTCGTTTTTCCAACACCAAACATTTGTTGGTTCAAGCTTCTCAAGCTTTTCTTGCACATATGATGGTAAATGTAATGTTTTTTTTGATTTTTTACCTGAATAAACCAGGCACTTTGAAGATTTAATGTAAATGATTAATCAATAAAATAAACAATAGATTTATCGATAGTGAAAAGCACTAGCAGCCCTTGTGTAGATCTATAGTCTTATCTTGCTTGGACAATGCAGTAAATATCTATGGAGTTTAAAACAAAAGAAACAAGACAAGATTCTGTTTTAAATGATGCAACGCTGTTCCAGACCGATTATGCAAATGAACCAATCAAATACTACAGAATTCAACTAATCTCAGACTAACGAGTATGAAAATACAAGTTGCTGTTAAATAAATGATGACATTGAACAAATTCATAGATGGCATCAAAATTTGGTGTTGTCATATACAGTATAAACTGATATGAAATCAGAAAGGCAAATAATGTAATCTACCAATATGCCCTTAGAGCCGTTTAATTCATAATATTCTGTTACTCTGAACATGAGTATTTATGAATTTTGTACTAGCTCATTTAGTTGGGTATCATCTTGTTTGTCTCGTTAAATCTGCAAGATTTTAAAGATTTATAATTTATAATCCGTTTCTGCTGTAAGATCCCTCTCTCTTTGTTTACAACTATTATTCTCCTCTAAATCAGGATTCTTCACAAGGATCTGAATTTATGACAAAAAGCAAACACCCTCCTGTAATTGTGGGGTTAATGCACGTTAGCAGTTAGCATGGCCAGAGAAATTACAAAAAAAGATGAGATGATTACAGCTCGGGAGGTTTACACTCTCTCTTAAAATAGAAGATCTTTGTAACAGGGTAAAAAAACAGCTTCTTACTGTCTTTTAACACTAAAACCTTGTTTATACAGAGGGATAAGCCGTCCTTGTTACTGCACAGTTACAGAAACTGAATAAAGAAACTCCTACACAACCTACTGTGAGGGAACTTTATAGGATGATACAAACAAAAGACAATATCTCATAGAGCCAATGCAGAGTTTATGGAAATGTATATATTAGTCACAGGAATTTCCCTGTCAGCATGCAGAGTAATTGTGTCACAAGTGTCTGGCACGACCAGAGCTTTTGTGCCCTGGAACAATAAACTGGCCTTGTTGTTGTTAATGGAATACCGCATGAATGTGTGGAAGCAACAGCAAGCGCTGCAACAAGACACAATGAATTATTAAACAAGTAGCGAATGCTTGTTAGTGGGGAAACACACAATGCCGCATTATGTAATGTGTAACAACTGCCCCACTGCTTGTGTCGTTGTTCCGCAGGAATGTACTATGAAAGTGCAGGAAGGGAAGTTCAAGCTGCAGGATCTTCTGGTGGTTCCCATGCAGAGGGTGCTAAAGTATCACCTACTACTGAAGGTAGGGGGCGTCTCATATCTGCTGGACCTACAATAACAGAGATGATAAAGTAAACAGAAAAAATCTTTGAATGCTTGAATGAACAGGTTTCAAAGATGAGTGTCTTCATCTCTTTGATGAATGAAGCAGATGGAAATGTGGTCCACACCTTCCTGCTTATAAATATCAAACACTCACCCCCTGTTGCCTTGAAAGGAGGCTGTGAAAAGTTTGTAGCTTGCTTCTTCATCAAGGATGGCAGCTGCAGACAGCTTGGATTCACAGCAGTTATATCTGAACCAGTTTCACTGTAAATGGAAATGTCCCTAGAAACTTTTCAAATCTCTCCTGCAGCATTCACCACCACCACCACACCTTACTACCTCCTCATGACGAAGCACAGCCAAGAGAAGCAAATTTAGCAATTTACTGGTAAAGAGATGATTGTCTAGTTTCATCCACGGTTTCATAGAATCCCACACTTCTTCTGTGGTAACATTTTCAGGTAAATATACAAGCAGACGTAGGTGTTTGAAGTAGAAAAGCAACGATGAAAAGTTATGATGCTACAAATCATGTTTAAACATAGTACAACGTCTTTATGGATCAGTTCACAATAAGAACATTGAAACAGTTTTTGCTTGCAGAAACCATTCCTGCTGTTCATACTGGTCGTTAAAAGATCTACTCCAAATGCAGTTCCAGAGAATGTGGAGAAAATCCTTAGTCCTCCTTAGATGTATTCTTCCCCATCTACAAAGTCTTGTTAGGAAAATCCCTTTTTGGGTTTCCAACGACAGTGTTTCCTCACTGTAGTGGAGGCACAGTAACACAAAGAGGGAATTTTCTTCTAAAACGACAGCAGCTCAAAAAATATCCTCTTGATGTGGTTAACTCAGTCTGCTAAAGCCTCTTATTAGCTTCAGATACATTTTTAAAGCCGCCGAAAACTTTGTTTAAAATCCCACAAATCCCTTTTTTCTGCATTTTCAATTTGTGTATTGAAAAAAAAAAACCTTAGTGGAAACACCAAAAATTTTCAAGATTCAGTCATGAAGTATCTGACTTAAATATTCACCACAGTGGAGTTTAAAGAGACTTAGCAGCAATAAGGGGACTACAACCTTCTTCAAAAGTATAAATGTCATATTTTCTATGTTTTCAACTTTGTTGCGCCCTCTCTTCTTCTGCAGTGGTTTAATGGCAGCTGACTGGACAGTTGGTGCCAATTAGCTGTTTATTTTGACTGAACTAAATTTTGCATAATGGAAGGGGATGGAAACACACATTAATTTGCATTTTCTCTTGCTGTTTTTTTTTTTTGGCTACAATTTGCTCTAAAACAGAGGAAAACCCAAACACAGAAATCTCTCATGGAAAATAACCAAAATTGTTGAGAAGTTTGTGTGTTAGTTCCCTCAGTTCATAACAAGGAGCTTATTTAAGAAAATATGTTTCCAGGGCCTTTAGTTGCACTGAATGAGGACAGTGGATCTTGGCCCCCATCGCTTATAATGGATATGCATTAGGAAGTGAACTTGTCCCACCCAGTATGAACAGTAGGAAGGATTACAGCAAGCGAAACCTGTTTCAAACTTCATGTGTGTACCTAATTATTGGTTGAAGACAGACTTGAAAAATAGTGGAGGTAGCCTTTAAATTACCTCACAGAGCATCTGACCTGATGACTACCATGATATGGCTGTGCATATTCAAGATCCTCATACATGATAAACACTTGGCGCCAAGCATTGTGGATTAAAGGCATTGTGGGGCTTTTTCCACAGGTAGACATTGAAAGAACTAAGCAGATCTTATAACCCTAATAGTGCTCAAATAGTTCCAAACAGCTCCTGCATTGTGAGGCTCACATTTTGTTGAGACTCTTTTCAGAGAGGTGAGGGTTCATGTCCGCTGTAATTTCAGCCAGCACTTAACAACCATCCTCAAAGGAGTATGTTTTTTTCCTGTCAGTGAGCTTTGACTGGTGACAGTTGTTCTTCTGGTTCTGGCCGGTACTGTTGTACTTTTCCAGACGGGTGACCTTGCCACATGAATTGTGTTTGTTGTTTTTGTAAGCAGTCCACCAACAATTTGGACACTGACTATTTGGCCTGTCTGGAAACTGTTCCTTACACTTTGTAACTTCAAAAAGACTGCGGGAACACAAACTGCTACTTGGCATTTAACTCAGTACAACTCGCCTCTGTGTCTGCCTTTGTGCTGCTTAAAGTCTTTTCATTTGTTGTTTCCATTATTGTTGCTCTGCCCTCTGGTTCAAATATTTATGCTGAAATTACAAATAGCAGCCAAAAATGATTTGAGCAAAGGTTAGTCTTTGCCTTAGTGTTTCTCAGTAGAACGATATGTCACTGTCCTTTGCAGCTTGGCAGCTATGTGTTAAGACAGTACATATTAATAAAGAGTCTTATTTGAAGTTTAAGGTTAAAAAAACTCTCTTTTGCAAAATAATTTCCTTTCTTTTGGTCAAAAGTTTGCATTTGGTGAACAGTATGTTTTTAGTTACCTCACTTTTAAATCAGTCTTTGGCATGTCTACTGCAATTGCAACAGATCTAGTACTAATTAGTCTATTAATCAGTCAGTTGATAGATTTAATTAATTGACAATAATTTTAATGACCATTTGACCATTTTGAGTCATTTATCAAATAAAGATACCAAATGTTTGTAGGACTTTAGCTTCTCAAACATGTGGATTCGCAGATTTTGTCTGTCTCATATCATTAAAAACAGAATCCCTTTGGGTTAATTTTAAGAACTCCAAAGGGACTAAGCTATTGTTAGCTGTAATCATCAATTGCAGCCCTGCACTGATGCCCACATGCAAATGTATTTAATCCCAATGTCTGACCACTCACATCCCAGCCCACGTTTCTCCCTGCAGCTCCCCTTCCTGTTGTTCATGTATACAACATGCCTGCCACTGTAATATCCTCCATGATTAATTGACTTTGCATCTCAATTATGGATGAGCATATGAGTTTATGATGCGGCGCCAAATGGACGGGGATGGGGGCGAGTATTTGCGTCAGGTGATTGTAGGTCCACACAGAGAGTGCTGCGGCTTCCAGTTTGATTTGAACCCCCTGCAGGAGTCTCAGCAAGGCACTGAAGTCAAATCAACTGTGCACTAATCAGATTAAATGCACCCCATTTCACTGCTTCTCACAGCTTTGCAGTAAGGCACTGCTGTATGCTATGGCCTTGGGGCATGTCAGATTGACAAGTCGTGTGTGTGCGTGTGTGTGCGTTTTTGTGTGTGTCCAGTCATGCCCATGGTCAAGCCCATGGTGTGAATGCTCGGCTCTCTTCATGTTTCATGTACTGTAGCTGCACTTTAAATAAAGTGAATTCACAGTCATCTCAGAGGTAATTCTCCTCAAGCAGGGTGTGAATATTTGATGGGTTTACAGTGTTTTTATGAAGTCGTGATTGTATCTTTGAGCGTGTGGGCTGTGCTGCAGCCACTTTGCTTGTGCAAAATTAACAGACCGCGATTTTGAAAAGATCTGCAGTGTCAGCACATCAATAGATAACCTCACTCTTCCTCCTGGTTGTGCTGGTTTTACTGGTGGGAAGCCAGTGAGGGATAATGACCTTGTCGCAGCACTAATTGCTGCTACTGGCTGTTCAGGGTGCCTGCACAGTGGCAGTAGGGGTGGGGGATGGGCTTAGTGGGGGCTGGTGAGGGATGGTATCAAAAGTGTTTTGCCCTCCGGTGAAGCTCATTGCTAGCAGGTGAAACTGCAAGAGAAGACGTTTTGATTTGTCATAGTGGGAAAAGCACACGTGTAACAAATACCATTAATAATGGTTGCATTTCTTTCAGGTTTTCCAGTACAAAGGCCCCAGTATTGTGCATTGTACTGAAATCACATCTGTGCTTTACTTGCTTCATCAAGTCAAGATGTCTGCCAGTAAAAAGGTCCATATTTGTTTTCCAAATCAGGAAAAAATGGGCAAAATATCGCACCAACGAATATGACTTAAAAAAAAAAAAAAACAAATTAAAATTTTATATGCTACATTCTGTTGTTGCTGTCACAAGCCACAGGATGAACTGTTAACACCTCCAACTGAGTGATAATCGAGGTCATTTGGACTATCTTTAGATCTGGACACAAAATATGAGATTCAGAATAGGTAAAAAGTGTTCATGTACAACCCTGTGTAGTCTAAGTATGCACCATGTGTGGAAATTCCAGCGACTGTCCGGTAACAGTGAAACATTCTTTGTACTGACTTTGAGTCGTTGTGAAAGTCAGTTCCTTGTGTTTTCTTGCATGTCAGACAAAACGGAAAAGACATTGACAAAACCTGGCTGAGCATAGTTGATGCAGCTCACTGCTGAGTACTGGAACTTAAAAGTTTATTCATGTGTCGCATGTGATTTTTAGAAAGCGCTGAAAAGCTGGAACGCTGACAGAGCTCTACTTTCATTTATAAAACTGTAAAAGATTTGATGAGACTTGTTTTTCTTTTTCTCACGAAGGTGGCTGTATCTCACCGTGGCTCCACAGCGTTTTATAAATCACTCCGATAAGCCTGTGGAGGAGACAGGATGCAAACAATCACACATCAAAAACGATGTAACATATTTGTTATTGACTGGCCACGAGGAGGACAATATGATTTGCAGAGGACACCACGTTTACCATTATCTTGTTACCATAAAGAACAGTCAGACCTCGAGGCTAGTTAGCGGTCTCTGCTGCTTCCTGTTGTCTTCTATCTTTATGTATGGTGCTGATGACTGTGCACAACTGCAACTTATTCTCAGCCACATCACTGTCACATCCATAATCACAGTAAAGAGCATCTATACATCTCTCACACAAACGCCTCAAATTACTATAGGATTGAAAATTGTATTTTTTGCTGTTCTGTAAGATAGAGACATCAGAGGTAGATTTAAAAAAAAATATATATAACTTCAAAAATATATTATATATAAATATATTCTATAAATATAATATATATAATATATAATATAATGATTAATCTCCCTCCACAGGAACTTTTAAGTCACTCAACTGACCGGCCAGAAAGGCAACAACTCAAGGAGGCACTGGAGGCTATGCAGGTCTGGTGTTACATATGTGTTTGTATGTGTGTGCGTTCATGAGTGAACAAAATAATGAAAAATTACATAATAACCCTGCAGTGCTCTTAGCCAAAGCTGTGTAAATTGTTTCATACAGCTACTGTGGCTCAGCGTACAGCAAAGCCACCATGATATGACAGCTGTCAGAAAGATTTTCAGTGTTGGGGCTTAACAAACGTTTGTGTCGCTCTCTCAGGACCTGGCCATGTACATCAACGAAGTCAAGAGGGACAACGAGACGCTGAAGAAAATCAGCGAATTCCAAAGTTCTATAGAAAACCTTGTAAGTATTATGAACTGTTCACTGCAGAAAGTGACTGTGCCATGCATTTTGTTACCTTCTGCGCAGAGCCAGGGTTAGCTATTTCCTTCTGCTTATATTTTTATGCTAATGGCTGCTGGCTGTAGCTTCATATTTTAATGGACAGATGTGATGTGATGTTTTCCCAAAATGTCAACCTGTTGCTTTAATGTTGTAGTTAAGTTTTTAAGATCTGAAACTACATTTTCAGGTGCTTCTGACTTTCCGTTTTGAGATTATCAATCGTCTTATTACCGCTCAGTAAATACAATAAAATGAATACATCTTTTTATTACTGTTTTGTCACATACCATCATTTATAATCCAATTTTCTGGCTTCTGTTGTACTTCATGTGGCTCAATTTGACATCTTTATAGTAGTCGGTTTTTGTGTCAAAAAAAAAAAAAACCTAATACACCAGCGCTAATGTTATCACCGGGCTGTGATATAAAGTTTGTCAGAGCGATTAGTCACAGACAAGTCACCCATTCTTGAAAATGTCCACGTGTTCTTTCCCCCTGCTGAGGAGGCTTGCAACATCCTGCTTTCACTTGTCACAATGCTCTGCTACAAGAATGCTCCCAGTAAATCATTCAGTCTTGCAGAGCACAAACAGGGGAAATAATGTAGACTCCAGACAGATATTCACTTACCATTATATATCTAACACTCTCATTTTTTTCTTTCTATGTCTTCTATCAGCATTTTCTTCTTTTTTTCAGTTTTTTTTTTCTGTTGCTTCCACCTGAGATCAATGGGGTTACTTTTGGACCACAGATACAGTCAGCAACCTCAAATTCAGATTAGGAAATGTAACTGAACAGGGATTAATAGTTTCTGTGTTGTACCATTCATTACCTATCTTATTTGGATTCTCTCTGAAATTCAAATGCAGCTGAATTATTTATGGTTTCTCATTAAATTTGGAAGTGAAAAAAGTGTGCGGTGGATTGACATTCAGTGTGTCTTTGTGACCTAAGCAGCAGGTGAAATTGGAGGAGTACGGGAGGCCAAAGATAGATGGAGAGCTGAAGGTGTGCTCCATCGTCAACCGAACAAAACAGGACCGGTGAGTCCAAACTTCTCAGACAAAAACTAAAATAAAGCAAAAAAAAAAAAAAAAAAGTGACATATTCTCACCACCAAATTATCAATCAATGTGTGTGTATGTCTTCAGGTATATATTCCTGTTTGATAAAGTGGTCATTGTCTGCAAGAGGAAAGGCTATAGCTATGAGCTCAAAGAGATTATTGAACTGCAGTCATATAAAATGTCGGACGACCCCATGAACAACAGAGACATGAAAAAGGTAAGAAAAATCGTACCATGTGGTTTTAAAAAAAGAAAAGACACAGAGCAGAACAATCTCTTATGCAGTGAGATCTTTGTGAAGGCAGCCTCGCTTAATCCAGGTGATGAAAAAAAAATCCCGTGTAATCATTACAAATGTCGCCCTTGAGCTGAAGGAGCTTGTTGATGGTAATTTCAGATACTTATGAGTAATGCATTGAAGTGTCAGATATGCATTGTGCTCGCCCATGCTTGAAAGATCATGTAAATGCAATGAAGGTCATTTAGGATTCATGGAATTGTACCGCAGTGCATTTTGCGTCTAACATTGCTTTTTTTGTTTTGAATCTGCATGTGTCTCTCCATGTTTGCATGTGTAACTGGGTCTTTCTCTGGTGTCTTTCTTTTTGCATGCTTACCAGTCGAGTGGAAAAATGGTAAGCTCAAGTGACCCCCTTTATTTAACTCATCTTCTCATAGTGGCCTATTTTTGGCAGAAGTGTTATTTGGGTATCACGCCGTGATTGCACGTGCACCCACCCGGCTCTGTGACTGACTGGCCCTCCAGCTTTTGGTCAAGTGCATCGCTAAAGCATGTGGAGCATCTGTTAGCTCTGATTTAAATGTGATCATATCACATACATAATACATATATACTATTTTGCACATTTATTTGAAAATGTTGGTATCACAAGCTTCTTTGCCTATCTCTATCTGCCATTGCCATCCACACGTCTCTCTCTGCCATCTGTTCTTCACTCACTTTTTCTCCCCAGTGGTCTTACGGCTTCTACCTGATCCACCTGCAAGGGAAGCAGGGCTTCCAGTTCTTTTGTAAAACTGAGGAGACAAAGAGGAAGTGGATGGAGCAGTTTGAAATGGCCATGTGAGTATATTTGCATGGTGGAGTTGGCGACATGAATACAAAATTTGAATTGCAACTCTCCTGGAAATTCAACTGAGAATCTATCTGTCGATAAAATAACCAGGTGGGAATGTCTGTTTTGGGGCTATTTCAGTCAATTAAACACCAGAAAAATCAAGCCACATCATGACAAATAAAACGTCTTGTCAAATCATCAGAATTATGCATCACTGTAATCCTTTCATCCAGGTCCAATATCAAGCCAGAGAGAGCCACAGCCAATCAGCATAACTTCCAGATGCACACGTTTGATAAGAACACCAACTGTCGAGCCTGCAAGATGCTCTTGAGGTAATGACCCTGAAATGATGAATAATGAATCCATCCTCATTCAGACTATTCAAGTACTAGCACTAGTAACTAGTAAATAGTAGCCTAGTGCATTTCTTTTTCACCGTCATTTGTATACTCTGCACAGTTTTATGTGGAGTCTATGTTTGATTTGTAAAAGATAATGTTTATCCAGCATGTTTAATGCAGTGGTGGACTGCGCAGTCAGATCATTCACTTAAATAAAACACAGCGATAAACAATGTAGAACTACTCGTTGAGAAGATTGACACCTTTCTCATGTCTGTGTGCTAAATATTTAGCTACAGCTGGCTAACTTAAATCAGCTCGACTCTACGGCCACAAATTAAAGAAATGAGGTATAAGTTGTATCTCTATAACATGTTATGTTATACTGTACAACATGTAAATCAGTGAGCAATAGAGGTGCTGACAGGCGTATTTTGTTACCCTTGGATGAGGGGTGTTGCGATATACCGGTATTGACGACAACCGTGATACTGTTAAAAAATCGATATTGTGTTAATAATACACATATGATAATAATGTGATGGCAGATGGGTTTACTTCTTTTGCCTACAGGAGACAAAACACACAATAAGCAAAGTTAAAGATGAATTTCACAGATTATCGTTATTTAAAAATTTTCTCTAGATATCGCGATAATATTGTTGTTGTGAATTCTTTTGACCACGAAAATCCTGTAGTGAAACAATGATATCATGCCAGCCCTACTTTGGATAGAGTCAGACAAGAGAGTGGCGTCAGTCTTCTCATTAAACTCGGCAAGAAAGCAAATAAGCATATTTACTACACGTTTTTTCTTTAAGCACAGATGTATTTGCAGCAACGTGTGTTTAATGTATCAATAGTATAAGTTCTTGTTATGCAGAATGGCCACTCAAAGTGTTATCTTATCGTTGCACTACATTATATTGCGAAAGTGTTATTGTTAATGATGCATGTGTTATCTCCACTAAAGGTCCTCTTGCTTGCTTGTTCTGGAGCTTTCAGTTGTGTCAGTTGTCATGGAACTGTAGCTGTTCAAACTGATGACCATAAGATTTAGTTGAAAGCTCCAAAACAATCGAGTAAGTGGGTCTTTGTGTGGAGATTGTGCTAAAGTGCTAGACTGAAGAGAAACTCAGACCACATTTGGTGAGCAACAAAGAAACAGAGGGAATGTGTTTTTAGCTAACGTAGCCCCTTATCAGTGTTAAAGCAATCTTTGGAAAATATTCCAGTAAGTGTGACTGAGGCTGACAGATGATATTTTTAAACATTCCCCCTTCCCAGCACCGCACACTGTGTCCCTGAGCACACCTCCTCCCATGTGAGATCGCTGCCTGGCTGCAGCAGGGATAACTCGTGTCACTGAATCACCACTTTCACCTCTATTACAGTCAGCCGGCTAAACTCCACACTGTGTATTGACCCACAAATTTCATGGCTTGGCTGACCTAAATTCAGTGAGCCAGTGGAGGCAGCGACCGGGGTTCTCACTCCCCTGCTAGATGCTAATTACTGCTGCAGCCAAAGTGGATCCCATTGTGATTTATGGCACTAACTATTCAACATGGCACTGTGCGACGCATGCAGTGTCACAGTATCCGTAACAAATACAGTTCAGTACATGGTCTTGAATGGAGCGAGTTGATTTTGTGATTTTGAAGGATCACAGGATGGAAATGATGGAGGTTGTGTAACCACAATCCCAGAATTATACTAAGTAGCAGCAGGTCCCCTTGTGGGTTGTATTTACAAGAAGTTAATTTGCGTCTGAGACACTTCCTGTTTGCATCACTGGTGTGTGTGTGTGTGTGTGTGTGCGTGTGCGTGTGCGTGTGCGTGTGCGTGTGCGTGTGTGTGTGTGTGTGTGCGTGTGTGTGTGTGCGTTTGCGTGCACGTGCGTGCCTGTGTGTGTGTGTGTGTGTGTGTGTTTCTGCATATGTGTGTCCCCAAGGGGCATCTTCTATCAGGGCTACTACTGCTCCCGCTGTGGAACCGGAGCACACAAAGAGTGTCTGGAAGTCATCACCATCTGTAAAATCAGTAGGTGCTTCCTCTGTCTTCTAGCAGAAGATCAGACTCGTTGATCGATGTTGTGTGACATATATCATTGATGTGTATGACATTGAGAGATTGTGGTGTACATTTATTTTATTTTATTTTTTTGTTTTGACCAAATTAATAATAAGAGCTTCAATTTTATTTTTCCCCACAAGTATTAACCTGCTGTCACTTATCCAGCAGGGAAAGGGGGGAATGGGTTTGAAAGGTTTCCTCTGGGTTGATGGGACTTTTTTATTGTGTCACTGGGTTTGATACCACAGATGAAACCACAACTTACCTGACAGTCCTTTCATACACTGCAGTCTTTTCAACAGATGGAGCACCAGTTATTTACACCAGTTGTCCCTAACCTTTTTAGCTCATAACCCTTTACAATGAAACAAGTCCTTATGTGACCCATCATGATCAGATCCTACAATCAGTGATGTAGTGATGTCTAAAAGTAAATAGAATTTCTTGTAACTTAAATGTTTTTATCTTCTTTACTGTCCCATCGCCCATTGAACCAGATTTACTTGGCATTCATTTAGAAAATAATAGTTTTCACATGCTGGAGCCAGCTAGAGTACAGTTGAATTCTGGTTCAAAGTGGAAGCCTAACCACCAGTTCTTAATTGTTCAAAAGCCTTATACCTATAGGTAGGAAGATTCCAATTTTACCAATTACTCCGTTACATTCAATGTATAAACCAAAATACATCCAAACAAATTGCCTTCGTGTTTGACATAGAAGATTAAAAAGAGCGCTCAACATGAAGCTCTGACACACATTATAAGAAATTGTATTATCCAATGTTGCCTGTAGCTCATCCTTAATCAATAATGGTAGCCAACTCTGGCGTGAATTGTGAATCCTCCCTAACAGTGTCCATATCTTTTGTCTTTTGTTTCAGATCCCCACGACTTGGTGAGTAGGTCCTCCATCAGTCAATATACTATTATCATCATTAGTATTATTCTCTCAACTGATGTTTCCCTCACAGATATTTAGTCTTTGTGATTAAAGGATATGAGTAAGATTTAGTGATTGTAAATTATTGACGATTGTGTATTTGCTTCCTTTTTTTTTTTTTTTTTTTTTTTTTTTTTTTATAGGAACCTGGAATGTCATCAGGTAAGAGCACTTCCTGTCTTCTGACATGACTGACTAACATGAGAAGACTCACATGAAGGTGGATGTTCTGTCAGTTGCCATGTGACAAGTTTGTTATAGGCTGCTATTGATCAGCACAGCTCTCTACTGCCATCTAGTGGATGGAGTAGCTGCATATGAACCACAACAACATTATCAGTCATATACTGTAGAGTGGGTGGCAATGCAAATACATACAGAGAGGATGTGTGCTTTAAATATTATTTGAAATTCAAAGACTTGAAGACATTTTGACATAAGAGGAATATCAGATTGGTCGACAATATCTTCAAATAATCAATACACAGTGATCAGTCTGGGGAGAATGAGATGCAGTTTAAGATTACAGTCAAGGTTGCTCTTGGTTGCTTTGTGGCATTCTTGCTCTATGATATCTTTCAAAGTGGAGAGAGAAAGGGATATCATGTGATAAAGATCCTGGAGAAGAGGTGAACCCAGGATGTTATGGTTATATTGTGTGTATCTTAGACCGCTGCATCACTCAGAGAGCAAGAGTTTTTATGCAAAAACAGACCTGCTTTATCAGCCGAAATCATAAAGTTACCAAAGATGGAAATCCAAACTACAGTCAGCAGCAGTCTGTCTAGAGAAACTTCGACTTAATATTTGATCTTAGCCTCTTTTATCCCTTGCTGTACGATTGTAAAAAGCATCAGAAACTGGCCAAGTTAAACATGGTGACAGAAGATCAAAAAGGTTCTTGTTAGCGAAGTTCTCTCTCCCAGCCTATAAATACAGTAGAAAAGTCATTCTTTTAACAACCTAATAGTTCCTCCCACTTATATCTCTGTTGATACCCTCTGTGAATCCTCGATTGTGTTTCCAGGTCCCAAGATGGTGGCAGTGAGGAACTACCACGGCACACCAGCACCTCCAGGGAAGACGCCACTCTGTTTTCAAACAGGAGACTTTATCGAGCTGCTGAAGGGAGACCCCGACACGGCGTGGTGGGAGGTACTGCACTCAGCCGCTTCTATCTGAGACCATATAGACATGTAAATTAGGAATGTCATATCAGACGGTGGATGTTGTCTCCGTACTTCAGCACGTGTTCACATCCATATTAGGTGAACATAGTAAGATTTTTAGCTGTGTTTACCTAATGGGATGTGTGTTAAAAAAGAGCTACAGTTCCTAAACTGTAGCTTGTAAAATCATCCTACCAGCGCCTCTAAAGCTCACTAATTAACATGTTATATCTCATTTATTTAATCCTTACTGAAGTGAAATAGTCTGGCACCTAACCCCATGTAAAAACCTCAAATTCTTGCTTTTACACTGTGGTTTTTGTGGGGATTAAATACAGGAAGTATAATGTGTTAATTACTCAGCTTTAGAGGTGCTGATACATGGAGAGCCTAACTATCTGTTTCCCCCTGTTTCCAGTCTTTATGCTAAGCTACGCTAACTGGCTGCATTTTAGATTTAGCACGCAGACATGAGAGTGGTATCGATCTTCTTATCTCACTGTCGGTACAAAATGTCAAACTTCTCCATTCATCCAGTGTACTGTGAACAGAGCAAAAACAGCACTGTCCTCATACTGAGTGCACTACAAAGAAAAGATCATCGCCCCGGGTCTGTGACTCCTCCCGTAGACAAGAACTTGTACTGCAGTGTTGTTTTGCACGGTAGAGCTTTTATCTGCTGATGATTAGGGAGGCGTGAAAACTTTATACAAAAAGAATTAAAGGAAATGTGTGGCTGGGAGTTACAAAAGTGATCTTTAACCTCTGTAACCAAGGTCCCTATCGAAATTTGAACCAGGGACATTACAGTTGGATGGTATGAATGTTAGACTGCTCAACCACCAGCTCACACAACACGGTGAAAACCTGGTTTTGTATGATATAATCGGACAGAGATTAGTTTTCTTACTATGGAGCTGGATTCCAATACCTTTCTATGTGTCAGCTTATTTGGACAATAAACACGTGATTCCAAAATTGAATTAAAAATATTTTTGATTCAGGGTGTGATGTCTTCCAACACACCTGTCATACACTGATGTGTGCAGAGATTTGTTCCTTCCTTTCTCTGAATCTGAAATTTGCACACACCCCTGTCACAATTATTCTTCTGATTACTTAGAGTAAGGTGAAAAACTGTTTGTTTCTTAAGCAATGGTATTAGCCCTGTATTAGTTGTAACATTAAGCAGCACTGTGCCTGTAAACCTCGGGGGGATCCTCTGCAGAGAAACAGGCTGGATAACAGGAGCTGGGGCACCGACTCTGGGTACTTTTGGAACTCTTGCTGAATCACTCACTGTCACTAACGGCTTGACTAAGGGCATCTTTCTGAAGCCATTAACTCAAACTCAGCTGTTAAGTTATCCCTCTACGGCATGACAGTGTCATCTCTCCATACAATGTCAAAGAGTGTGCTGAGCTTGAAATCGATTGCTTCAGGTACTGAAGCAGAACAGTGAAGGGGTTTCTGTAAAGTTATCTTTCAGCTGAACTTGACAGGTGTGTTCATCTCATTGTAAGTTCAACACCCACCATCATTGTTTAATGTGATGTATGATGTATGCAATGTGCATTCATTTAAAGCCATATGAAATTATAGGATTTTTCATATATATATATATATATATTGTTATTTTATTTTATTTTTTTTTTTTTAAAAAAAGTTATTTGGAGTAAAATAAAGCAGTCCGCATGAAAACTGGTGCATTCTGTTACCACAGTCTTTTCTGATGCTACCACTAGTGGGCACCAAAGTTTCAGATATATGTGTTTATATACTGTATATGAATAATTATATACATAAAAATGCGCACACAAGCTATAAATGACTTATTCATATACTGGCATTTTACTATATTATTTTGCAATGTATGTATTTGTTTCTCTCTGTTTTTAGTTCTTTTTGTCATTCATTATTTTTTCCAGTGCCCTTTTTTTTTTCTTTCACATCTGGAACACACTGAAGCATTTACTTCCACTGCTTGAATTGATAACTAATCTTAATGTGTGTTTTTAAATCTCGTAAAGCATTTGTTTGCCTTGTGTAAAACAGTTTGACTTGTCTTGACTTCCCCTGCCTTTGTCTTTCAGGGAAAGCTGATACAAACACAAAAAAGTGGCTTCTTCCCCAGTTCATGTGTAAAGCCTTGTTTGGACCCAAAGGTATGTCTCCCATATGCATGAATAATTAGAGTATGTGTGAGTTCTGAGGGAATACCAGTGCCCTGTTTTTTTCTCTTTAGTGTACACTTAACTACCTGTGTGGGACTTGCATATCAATGATCTGCATCTGTACTATGGTTTTGTTCTGTTAATAAGTTCTTTAATGTGCGGTGTCTGTTATTTGTTACAGCCCTTTCAGTCATTATCTAGCCGGCAATCCTCAAGGGAAGCAGATTACTATGGATATCCTTGGTAAGACCCTGAACTTCAGAGGGTTGTGGATTTAAGAATATTTCATCTTCATATTGTTAAAGGCCTGTGTGTTATATACTACCATCACCCCAAGGCCACTATTCTATAATTAGTTGAGGTCTGTTAATGTTAACGTCATGCAGTAATTCAAATTTAAAGCAAACTGACCCCAAGCACAACCGCAACCAAAAGATTAATTACTACATGGATGTTTGATGTCAAGGACTTGTAAAGGCTTCACTGTGTCATTTGATATTTTTTTCTTAAGTTTGTATTTGAAGGTCACTGTATTTACTCTCTGCTCCTCTGTAGGTTTGCAGGGAACATGGAGCGCCAGCAGGCCGACAACCTCTTAAAATCCCACAGCAGCGGGACTTACCTTATCAGAGAGAGGACAGCTGAGGCAGAGAGGTTCGCCATCAGCATCAAGTAAGTGTTTCGCATCCTACAGAGAAGGAAAAATCTCAGGGGAAGGTTTTTATCCATATCTCATGGGAAATAGATATTCTCACGGGATGCCCCAGTCAGCTCTTTCACTGCATCATTTAGCTCCGGCTAATTACCACTCAGTAATTGCTTCTTTTTTTTTTTTTATCCTGTTTTTTTGTGTACATTTCCTCCAAGAGAATTCATCCCACAGAGAAATAAAGCATTAGCTTTTCCTGGAACTGTCCATTCAGATGCATAAAACAAATCCAGTCAGATATAACTTGTGAAAATTACTTTATTTTGGTTTATTAGTCCTCCAGATACACAACAAAATATTTGATAACACATTACTCCCAGTTCACCAAAAGTAAAAGTGCAAAAGTATGTAACAGTAACATATGAGCAAGTAAGGATATCAGTATGGATATGGAATAAATTAATGAATGTTAAAAAGGATTTAATCAGTAACAATCAAAAACTTCCCTTATCTCGGTGATTTCTCTTTAATTATGGTGTTGTTTGATTTTACAGATTCAATGATGAAGTCAAACACATTAAAGTCATTGAAAAAGACAGCTGGATTCACATCACTGAGGCCAAGAAGTTTGAGAGTCTTTTGGTAAGTCATATGAACTAGATCCTGTACAAAAATCCTACAGACCCTGGATGTCAGTATGAAAAGAAAAAAAAAAAAAGAAATCAGATACTGACTTTTTATAATCCTTCTGTACTGTTTAATGTAACAGGAGCTGGTGGAGTACTATCAGTCCCATTCACTGAAAGAGAGCTTCAAGTTGTTAGATACCACATTGCGATACCCCTACAAGTCGAGAGAACGCTCGCTAACACGGGCCAGTACGCGATCACCAGGTAAGGCTCACACACACTACACAACACACACACACACAACACTTTCCTTTCACTTTGTGCAGTTAGGTTGAGTCACACGCACTTGCCGGATTGCTAACAACACAATCTGCCAGTCACTCAAAGATTAAAAAATCAGCTGATAAATGACAACCAATAAGCTTGTTGTCAGAGGAAGGCCGACCATCGCCCAACGTTTGACGTTCGGCGGGTATCCACATCGAGTGACTTGCTGATGTTACTTTGTTCTATGAGATATAGTTCCACTTGGCTTGCAGAAAAGGAATGATACCAAGCATTAATAATGCTGAGTTATTATTTATCTTCATGTTAATATGTGGAGTGACGGAAGATATGAGGTGACTATAACACTCCTAACTTGTGGTTAGGGTTAAGAGTCAAGGGGATTGAGGGAAAACACTCCCGAACCTTTGATCCAGTATTGCAAAAGGTTTGTCCACAAGACGGTGTCCCAATGTTTTCTCTTTGGGTTGACACCAAGTGGGTCGCTTGGATAGTGGCCCGGCCACCAGGCACTCTCGAGGCACCTTGTCTAAGGCCTGCTTCCAGTAGAGGGCCCTACCCCTCTTCCTTTCCTGGGCATGGTAGCTTTTTCCCCAAACTTGTTCCTTATGGATTCTGGGCGGCTCTAGGTTTGAACCCTCAGCCATGAGCTTCAAGTAATGACTGAAAAGAAGTGAGTTTCCTTTCACTTGCGAAAGATAAGTTGAAGAGCTCAGACATCCAGAGAGAGCTCTGAGGTTATCTTCCTTTGCACTGAAAGGAGTCAGATGGAAGGAGTGGTTTCGACATCTGATTCGGATCCCTCACATATAGCTGGGAGGGAGACCACTTGGCAGGGCTCACGGCTTGCTGGAGGGATCACAAATACATCCTGACCTGGGAACATCTTGGAGTCCCCCAGGAGGAACTTGAAGATGTGGCTAGAGAGAGGGGCTTATGAGTTACCTTGCATAACCTGCTGCAAACGTAACCCTGACCAAGATAATCAGCGGAAAATGGATGGACGGTTGTTTGGCTCAGCGACTGACAGGAATTTGTACGTCAGCTTACAAATTTGGCAGCTTCTATGAACGATTGTGACAGAACTAATTTGACTCTGAAGACATGTCATAATGTGCAGGTCCAGCTTACAAATTTAATGCCCTGCCATCTTGGCTTTGGATAATGCAAGGGAGCGTAAAATAAATGAGACAGACTGCCTCTTGCTCTCCCTAGTTTCTCTGGTACTCTGTTCCTTCCTGGGCCAGTGACTCTCCTGACACATACAAAAAGAAATGGAGGGTGGCCAGAGGGGGGGAAAGGGCCAGAAAAGGAGGCGACAGTGTGAAATAGATAAAGAGCGAAAGACAAAGAGGAAGAGTTTGTCAGCTAACTCCGAGGCCTGTGGACTGGCTGTCTGAGTTGGCTGCCCTCTCTGCCCATTAGACTGTATGAATACTGGCTCTGGCCTCGCACTGGCTGCTGTCCTGCATTTGGCCTGCCTTTGTCCGCTCCGCAGGAAAACCTAACTGGCCACTCACAGCAAGATTGTCTCCCTCCTGTTTTGGCTGAATTTGGAAATGAATGGAGACAATGTGCTCTCGCTCTTTCTCTGTATGTGTTTGCAAGCACGACACACCCCGGCAGGTGGGCACGGAAACGTTGGCGGGATTGGGAAAAATCTATCATGATCTGGAGGCATCTATGATCGTACCTTGTTATATAACGGGTTGTTTAGTGGATGCTAAGCAGCCACGGCCAATCACATCCATTTGTGTATGTCCTCACAGTTTGCTGATGGAGTGAACAAATACACATTGTATGAGAAACTGTGCAGACTTGGTTGGTTTAATTTATTTTTCATAAATGATTATTAGGGCTTCATTCAGTAAAGTCAAACTGTGTTTACATGCAACTATCAAAGTGGAAACAAAACAGTCTCTTTAAGCCTTTACATCAGTGCATAATTTGACAATTCCCATAATTATCCTATTTATAAACCTGTTCACAAATTAATATATTTTTCTTTTAAATAGCAAATTGTTGTTTTCGTTCTTACCATTAAAGCAGTCAAACTGTAACACCAGCATTGTCAAGATGAAATATAAAAAGAACAAAAGAGACTTTTAAGTGGCAGACAGAACTTCAATGCAGAAGGCTTTCTCTCTTTTTAACTCTGCTTGTCTGGCTCCAGCTCTTCCTGCATGCGCCTCAAAACATCTTCCGGCTTTATTTGTTCCTCTGTCTCTTTCTCTCCTCTTCGCAGCAGCCACCTGCGCTTCCTACAACTTCTCCTTCCTCAGTCCACAAGGCCTCAACTTCTCTTCTCAGAGCTCAGCTCCCTTTTGGTCAGGTACTTCTTTTTTCTTCCTTTTTTTTTTCTTTTCTCGCTCCTATTGTCTTGCCACATTTCACTGCCTGTAATTTCATAATGAGCCTCAGCGCTCTCGACCTCATTACTTGTTCTCTGTGGTGCTATTTTCATTAACGAGGACATTCCAGTTCTTCCCTGAATGACATTCCCTCATTAAATCAAGAAAAGAAAACCTATTTCCTCTCCCTTGATGAAACAACTTGTCCTCTCTCATCCTGCTCATTTGTCAGTGTGTGATTATATTGTGTCGCGCCGAACACTGACCATCTTCCCTCTGTTCATTCCTGTAACTCATTACTACCAATATGTCCAGTATGACTTTTCCACTCTCACCCGTGTTCCTCATGGATAGAGATGGTTATTTATCGCTAATACCATTAATGTCATTAATAACTGTAGCTAACTTTTAGTCAATTAACTTTTAGTTACTTGTGATGAAATATGCTGTTAAAGTTTTAAACTATAACCAGATTGAGCCCCAATTGTTTCCATTTTCAGTGTTTACTCCTAGGGTGGTCAGCACAGCAGTGGCCAGGTATAACTTTGCAGCGCGAGACATGAGGGAGCTTTCGCTGCGAGAGGGAGACATCGTCAAAATCTACAGCAAGATCGGTGGAGACCAGGGCTGGTGGAAAGGAGAGGCCAATGGACGAGTGAGTAAACCATGAAAGTATTAATTTATATATGGGGAAAACTAAGGGTGCATAATGAAAAGCATAGAAAGAGAAAATCTTTGGGTGCTATGGTCTTTTTAGATTAGTAATGTTCACCATTTTAAAAACAGTTAATACTGCTAGCTCAATTAAAGGTCTCATATTGTATGAAGTGAGATTTCCATGTCTTTTTTGATCACAAAGCAGGTCTAGGTTCTATATTAATACTGTGAAAGAATCAAAGCGCTCAGTCCATAGAGAAATGCACACAGCCTGTATTCAGAAACTGAGCCTTAACAAGCCGTCAGGACTTCTGTAAATTTGTGCTCTCAGCTATGCCCCAAGCCCCTCCAACCTGGACCCACAATCCATACTTAGGGGATTTGGTTTCTCTTGAGTGTTTGAAATCTGAAATCTTTTATATTTTCATTCTATCGCTCAGAAAACAGTCAGCCAATCAGTAGAGAGGCTCAGAGCCTCCTCTCTTCTGATTTGCTCACCTACCTGTTCTGAACTAGAGCTCCAGAGAGGAGATGTAAAACTACATTGAGATGGTTTTTGGTTCTTAAAACCACAAATGTATCTTCTTATGGATATCAACACTTCGAAATAAAACCATGGTAAAGTGTAATATATGGGACCTGTGTTGATATTAAAAGCACTCCTAAAGTAGGTGGTTGAAAGAAAAAAGTAAAAGCTTAGCTCCTGTTGCAGCAAAAGAGGATGTGAATTCAGCTTTTTTATTCTAGGAATGTTCCTCATTAGGTTGCATTTTTAAGTGTGTTAATGTGCTACTGTATGAAATTCAGACAGAACACACAGCAACCTGAATGCTATCAAATCAGTCTGACTGCATCTTTGTGGTAGTTTGTCCTTAGCCAAGTGTCATTGCACTGTGAATAGTTTGCTCAATTTTTTTAAAGCAAAAAAATACACCCAACACCTTGAAAGGTCAACTAAATCTGCCTCTTCCTCTGCCATCTCAAGCAAGCCCACTATTTTAGTGTTTAGATCCATTCAGAATGCAGGCAGAATCCAGTTAGCAAGATTGCTCATTAATATCAGGTGTAAATCCAAAGCCAGACACAGCTGTCAACTTGATTTTAGTCTAGTTGTTTGTTTTTACATTTGTTCTTTTGTTTACTTCAGCATCTAGTTCACTGGTGATGTAGTGACAGTACATTTTGTGACCTGTCAAAACTTCCTTAGCGCCTGTATCATGTACTGTATATTGAAGAAATAAGCTGCGCAGGTAATACAACGACATGGAGGCCCTCAGGAGTGCATTATTTTTCATAACTGCACTGATCAGAGTGCATTATCCCATTTTCACAATAACAACACTCCACTGATCAAACAATACATATTGATTATTCATGATTTCAGGCAGTATGCTCTTTAAATACAGCTTTTGTATTAGTACTACCTCTGTTACTCTCTTTACTATTTTAACAAGTAGAAGTTGTTGCCTAGCAACAGCAGAAGTAGAATTTGAAGTAGCCTTCAAGTTTTGTTTTTTCTTTTTTCCAGAATGGGGATGAGGCTGCTACATCTGAACTGTGCAATTATCTGCAAGTAATATACATCCTGTAGCCAATTAGAGCAAAGTATTCTGAGGGGCCTTGGTCTAGTGCATTCATGCTGCACATACAATACATTCATTTTAGTGTTCCTGTGCATACGGCCAGTCTGGATGTGAAAAGGCATCTGAATGACCTCAGTTAACATCTGTTGTTTACATTTGCTATTATGAAGGACTTTATGTCTGATAGTTACTGTCTTATGCTTCAGATTGGATGGTTTCCCTCAACCTACGTGGACGAAGAAGGAGTGCAGTAAGGCTGTGGGTGTTTTCTGGCCTGACTCCCTTTAAATCAGGAACCATCTTCTATCTACTGTTCTCAGAGAAAATTACTCACTCTCTCCAGGAAAATAACACAAGGAAAAAAAAGGACTTTTTTTTGTTGTTGTTGTTTTTGCTGGATGCTCTTTTTTTTTCAGCAAGTGTTTCTACCCCGTTTCTCTATCTTCAATTATGCATCAGCTTTGTTTTTGTTTGTTTTGGGGGTTTTTAGACGGATGTCCTGTTTAATTTGTGTACAGGAAAGAAGAAGAAGTGGCGTGCTGTCTGCCAGACTCTGTGTGCACTGCAGAGGCTTTACTGAACTGAGGACACAGCAGAAACTGACTATGGATAGCTTTACTTTGGAAAAAAAAGGGCCCCCCTTTGGTTGCAGGTCTATGTGAGGTGAAATAATTGTACAGTATAGATAATTTATTGAATAGAGATTATTATCATGACTAATGATTATTGTGGGGAAGTTGATTTTAGCAGCAGCAAAGAATCAGCTGAGGAAAGACTAAAATAAGAAAAAGAAAAAAAAAAAAGACAGACGATCTGTTTTCATGTTGAGAGATTTTGCCTTAGTTGTCATGGTGATGCCTTGTGGGCTGACACCAGTGGAGGGAATCGACTTTGAGGACTGGTTTTACTTCTCCATGTGTGCATGTGCCCATGTGCGGCCCACACAAATACACACACAGACCAATGTACAGTACGGTGCCTTTGAAGAATGGTCGTTGCTTACCGAACCTCAACATCAGCCAGTAAAGAACATTGCCACCCCCTTCTCAACAGACAGTTCGTCCACATCCAGAGGAGGGGAGAGGCACTTACACAGCATACTGGGGACAGCTCACCTTCTGAGTCCTCAGAAAACAAGATGGTGACGCATTTAACCCATCCTAAATTGAGACTGGATGGACCCGCAGAGACAAGTTGGAGGGTTTTTATAGCCAACAACAATCACATACACAGTTCACATCAGTCTTGGCATCAGGAGTCATCGGGTGTCATCAGCTGGATGCGAAAGGGAACATCAAGACATTCCACTCGACAACCACTTCACACTTTTAAATCTTGGTGTTTGATGTTCTATTGTTTGATTTTTTTTTTTTTTTTTTTTGCACAGAATTAAGATTATTATTTCTATTTTTTAGTTTTGAGAACTGGACCAACAGTTTTTTTTTTATTATAATTATTATTATTATTATTATTATTATTATTATTATTATTTGAAGCCAAATTCAGCCATGTTTTAATGTCTGCATGGAGTTTGATCGTTTGATCGATTGTTATTATTTTTTGTACCTTGCCTTATTTTTACAGATGACCAGGTGATGGGTTTTTTTTCCTCAATATTAATCATTTTCCATGTGTGAAATCTATTTTGGTGCTGTGCGGACTGGTGAAACTTAAACAGTGTCAGAAGAGTTTTTAATCTGAAGGAAAACTTTGTGTGCTAATTAACATAAATCCACAGAAGGAATCCTCAATCACTTTGTGATTTTTCTAGGGGTGCTGTGCTCAGTGTTTCCATTTAGTTCCAGTAATTAAGCCATATACACAACAGTTTGTCAGCATACAACTTTCATAAATGTACCAGACTTTGTAATTTGTTATATAGATATTCTATTGTTTACTCAACCCAGCTTCCTTTAAAAGTTTAGGTCAAATTAATTTCATATTTTAATTAATATATAATATATTGACTAACTCTGTTTATATGGCCTCAGTTTTAACCTTCATATATTCCACCTACACATTTCAGTATTGATATATCGCTTGCAGCTTACACTGAACTGTCTCAACTTTATGCAGGCTTGAAAATTTTCCAGCACACTCAAAGAAAAATACGAAATGCTTTACAAGAAAAAATGGAATTTATATAGACTAGCTGTTTCAATAAAATGGAGAATGTCATCTTGCTGCTAATGGGTCAATAAAAACAAGAGCATCAAAGCATTCGGCCAAACCCACTGAGAATTAAAGTGCAAACACTGAGCACGTCAGCTCTGGCTGGTTCACAAAGACCTATACAGAGCAGAAGATGCTGATATGTTTAGTTTCTAAACTTTTGACTGTCTATGATGTGTGTCATTGCAAAGGCCGACCACCCTGAGCAACACAATGTCCTACTAGAATTAGGGATGGGGGTGGGGTGGGGTGGGGTGGGGTCTAGTCGCTGTTTATGTAGTGGACAAAAAACCCATTGCATGTGGCTATTGATATGTCAACTCCTGTCAGTACATCCTCGAAAAAATACGTACTTCATTGTGTACATTTTTTTGAAAGGTTGAGTATTTCCAAATGAGGTCTATCATGAAATAAATATTTCTCTTTTGTTTTAAAACTGAGTGAATTTTTTAATCTTTCAGTGCAAATGATAAGAATACAGTTCATTTCAGTTTGGAGTTAATGAAAATAAGATATAAGTCTTGTGAGTTTTTTTTTTATTTTTTATTTAATACATTTTGAAGATCTGCTTCTGCACACAGTGACATCTGCCTGCATGTTGGATAAATAATGGCAATGCTTACATTATCTAGCAATAGAAGAAGAACACTTCTTACAAAAGGAAGTAACATGAATAGTGTTATCATTAAATCATCACACTGCACAGCTTCCAGTTCAGTTAATTAAACTCTGCAGGACTGTTGCTGCTCCACATTTCCAGTTTCAAACATTTCAGTGGGAGCTAATGCTTCTCAGTTCATCTCTGTTGTTGGTGACTGTCACACTGCGTAGCCATACTTGCTGTCATATTCTACTGGTGTGCATTTGACTGGTGTACAGCTGTTGCTCGAGCGGGGGTGTGCACATCCTTCGCTGAAAGAGCTCCCTTCGGTCCCACCCACCTGACAGTAAGTCACCTGTGGGTGCTGATTGGTGCTCCGGCTCGTGTGGCGACTGACCGGGCGGCTCTCAGGAGGCGGAACATCCTCCCTATTTGATAGGAGCAGAGCAGAGAGACAAAAAATGACAACATAAGAGAATTTTACCACAGAAGAAATTATGTCAGTTCAGTCATTTGAATTCAGGGAATTGGTGTTTGATACAGGATTTTTATTGAAATTGGCTGAGTTCATGCTAATTATTAGGGTTGTGAATACTCAAATCATTGTTAAGTCACAAGTTTAACAAAATAGAGAAATTTCCAAGAACAACAGATAAAAACTCAACGGTTTTCCATTTACAGGGATATAAAAAGAGAAAAAAAGAGGGAAAAGCTGGATACATATTCTCACAATTATAGAAGCTAGAGTTAAAGGTCCCATATTGTTTTCCCGCATTGAATTGTGATTTCCATGTCTTTCTTGATTATAAAGGTCTAGGTTCTATATTAATACTGGGAAAGTGCTCAGTCCAGCCTGTACTCAGAAACTGAGCCTTAAAACCAGCCATCAGGACTTCTGTAAGTTTGTGATGTCACAACTATACAGTCACCGCCCTCAGCCATGCCCCCTGCAGCGAATCAGAATATGTTCTGATTGGCCACCGATTTGTTGTTACTAGAGCTCCAGAGAGAAGCCTGAGAGAGGAGATTAACATTAAGATGGTTTTTGGTTCTTAAAACCACAAACATGGATATCAAAACTTCAAATAAAACACATCAAAAGCCTAAAATAAGGGACCTTTAAAAGATTACCAATTGACTAACCATTTATTCATTGTTTTAGCACAACTTGCTTTCACTGTACATCCATGAAGGTGCTATTTTTTATGACAGATAACTGAGAACAAAGTAGTTTTGGTTGACTTTTGTGCGTTTTAATCCATATTTAACACAGTGGATACACAGTATTTACTGAGTGAAATAGTCTTGCCCATAGGTGAAGTCTTTGTTAAGTTGAAGGCTCCTCCCAAGAGTTCCCACTCTCACGGAGACCCTGCTTTCACTGCATTTCTTCTACTGAAGGATAAAATCACTCTGGTGCTGGTTTCAACCAGCAAACACTGACAAGAGGCAGAAAGTACTATCTTCCCTCGTCAACACCGCTGCCAACATTCAAGCTTAAAAGCTACTTTGCATTCTGCATTTATGTAACTTTGCAGTACCAGCTGGGATCTTCTCCTCTGTCAAAGGAAACACCCGCACAACTAATCGACTTTGGCATTTTCTACTCCTGTGGAGCCGGTGGAGGCCAAGGACTCAGATTTTTGCTGGTAAAAGGAATAAATTTGCTTTGGTTAAGCTGAAATGGGAAACAATGTGCCTCAAGTCTTTGAGGCTGTGATTCCTGGCTGTGTGTGTGTGTGTGTGTGTGTGTGTGTGTGTGTTGCCATGCAACAAGACAGAACTGTTGCAAACAAGAAATTGAACAAACCAAAGTAAATCAAATTAAACATCAATTGTCTAGTTTTTCTAACCTTTCAAACTTGTTTTGTTCTGGAAGCTATTTGTCTTATCTTTTTACAGAAGTTTGTTCTGAAATTAATTAACCTGCAGACAAATTTAACTGCAAGTATTTCTAATGGCTGTGACTTTATATTGACTCAGACAAACTCAGACACTGCCGACTGAACATAAGCTAGTGAAGTCTTACCCCAAATTTACAGGAGATGCTAGACATCACTACGTTTGATCTACACCGACTTCAACCTCTATCATGCTGTAATCAGCATTACAATCAGGAGCACGGATGGTGGTCGGATCGGTTGTGACATTTTTCAAAATGGAGGTGAAGCTGTTTGATGTAATGGACAAGTGATGTATGTCAAATAAGTAGAGACAGTTCAAAATTGCTGCCCTTTACAGTTTACACTTAAAAGCTGTTGATATCATATCGATCTACCAGTCTGCCTGTCGTGTACGTTAACGTTTTGTTTCTACATTAGCGTTCAATATTGCATTTAAAGCTCTTGATATAAAGCTTGAGTCTGATTTTTTTCACTGTATTCATGTATTTTTTCCGGTGCAGAGAATAGAGTACTTGAACTGGTATAATGCTCTGTGTGACTCATCCCCGAACTTTTCTATCTGCAGTGTTTACCTTGAAAAGTCTGGGAAGTGACAGATGTGAGAGGCACTATTGTTGCGTGGCTCAGATTAGTATGCTTTTCCATCTCTCCCTTATGAGCCTTTCTCAACAATGTCATGTTCATGTGAAGAGAGTTTAACTCCTGTATGTCACTGATATGGAGAAGCCCGTATCAGGATTGTGGCTTGAAGTGCTTCTCTGTCCTCCCACACTGACGCTGCTCCCATATCGACATCTACTTTGAAAGCATGTGGGCTGTTTTCAACGGCATATGTACCACAACTCCAAAATTTTTTGATAGACATTGTTTATTTGCAAAAGGAGAAATCCTCTCAGCGATGTCAGGATTGGAGGTCAGTCGCAAAACATTGCCCCTGGAGCAGCTCAATGCTCATGCTATTCACAGATTTACGTCATAAGAGAACCAACAAAGAGCCTGAACCAGGGCTTTCTGTTTGAGGCTAAGTGCACCACGCTGCCTGTTTCAACTGGTTGCATAGTTTGCACTCTTCCAGAGAGATCTCAACTAAAGTAGTGTTGCTCAATAGCTTAAAAACCTACAAGTGAGAATAAAATGTGAAATATTGGATACTCACAAACATGGATTGTAGAGTTTTGTCCCCGAATTAGATGTCCACCACTTGTAAACTGTGTTCTTATCAAATGATTTGAAGCAGAAAAAGTGTAATTTGCCATTTGATATTAGTCATCCCATTTTATCCGTAGCCTGTTTTCAGAACTTTGAAACTTAAAAGTCATGTTAGAAAAGAAACATCACGGCAAGAACTAAATCTGCATTTTATTGTCTCAAACAAATAGCTAGAATGAGAACATTTTATTGCCAGAAAGGATTTAGATCGAAATAATTCATGTCCTCGTATCCACTATGGTGGAAGCAGTCAGCTTAGTTACCTTAAGTAAACCAACCACCATGCTGTACATAAAAGGAAAGCAAATGAAGTCATTATCTTTAGTGTGCCGAAATTTAAGCCACTAAAGTAGCAAGACCAAACGATGCTTTGAGCTAAAGGCTACCATCAGCATGCTAACATTCTTACAATGACAATGCTAGCATGCTGATGTTGCTTAGGTAATTTTTACTATGTTCACCATTAGTTTAAATCTAGTGTGACAAAGCCATCTAACATGAATGAATATTTTTCATTGCCCTACTGTTTGTAATATGTCATATGATTTTTGTAACATGATTTATGCTTAGGTTTGTTTGATTTGTTGCAGTGCTCCTTCTTGCTATTGCTGTATTTGGAATATGAGTGCACCTATTGGCTACATTGTGCTTGACTCTCTTATACAGCTCACCTGTGCTTCATTGTAACACTGTTGCCCGTTTGCACACCGATGAAGAGTGGCTGTCTGAAACGACCATGCGATGCATTAACACACAATTTAAGTGGAGCGCTGTGCTACTCTTGATTTTTGATCTTTTCCTTTGAGGATTCAGCACGCACCTATACAAACTGGGTTTGAAAGACTCATGACCTAATCTATCCTTCAAAGGCAGCCACCTGAGTTACTGTAATTGCTGTTTGCCAGCATGTACTCTTGGGTTCAAACCAAACACAACCGTCACACACTTTTTCAAACAGATGTTTTTCCTGGACCTTCACAATGATGAAACAGATTGAGTTATCAAAGCACTAAAATAGCATTAAGTCTTTATGTCATGTTTTTGTTTTGGACTGTATACATTTTGTTTTATTTTATTCTACTTATAAATACATGAATACATTTTAAATGTTGTTGTAATGTATTCCTTTTCCTTATGTAAAGCACCTCAACTAGAATACTTGAGTTTTATAGAATATTGTTTGACCTCAGCAAATGTTTTTTTTAAAACAACAACAAAGTACATCTAGGCATGAAATCTGTTGATCTCTACTATTTTATTCTGAGAGGTATGTAAACATTTGAAAGTGGCCTTGACTGACACTGATATGCATTCCTGAAATTGTTTTTTTTTGTACAAGCCTGTATATATTCACAGGGCAGAGGGCAAACTGTGCTGCCAGCCTTATATGAAAGTAAAATTTAAAAAATTCACTTGAGAAAAGACAGTTTGTCACAACATACTTATGTAACTGTGCTAGATTTTCCTCATGCTGTAGAAACATACTGTGTGTGTGTGTGGTAGCACAACTGTTGTTTGCAGACTCTGCTGTTTGGGGAAACATTACATTTAAACTCTTCTTTTGAATTTGTGCAGAAGAGTCTGTGGAGAGCAGGGTTTGAACTCCAAACCAGACAAAATAGGACTATTTGTTCTTGTTTATATGGTTCATCTACTCAAAAGAGTGTTTCCTGCTAAGACAGTAACTCAGCTTTTTAAGTCTCATACCTCAAACTAATTCTCACTTTCTTAACAAAATGAACAACAGCAGTCATTTTCTTTCTTTTCTTTCTCTCTGACAACTCCTATGAATTCCAAATGTGGGATCTGTTATAAAAAAAGCAGAACTTGAGATGTTTCTATTTACATTTGTGCAATAGTGCACAATAAAATTGCAAGAATGCAATGTATGAGAAGGCAGAGAGAGAAAAACCTGTGTGTCTCATTGGAGAAAAGTATCAGGTGTTGCCATGTTTCCTATTGATGCATCAAGGTGATCATGAATTGTTCGGCATTTTGGGAAATGCATTATTATTGGAGTTAGACGACAAAATCAAAACCACTCTCATATCTTTTTGTGAAATATAAAGCTAAGCTGCCATTTAGCTTAGCTTAGTTAGCTTGTCTCTGTCTAACTAACAAACTATGCCTACTAGCACCTCTAGAGTCAATGCGTTCTATCTCATTTGTTAATTTCGTAAAAAAAAACAAAGTGTAGAAACACAATGCACTATTTAATGGGGGTTTAATGTGTCTGACTATTTCTTTGCCAGGCACAGCAACTCCTTGAGTCTCTGCTGAAAAAGAAAAAAAATTGTGAGGCACATAACCCCAATAAAATGGTAGATAGTCATTTTACGCTTTTTGTGCACAGACGAGGAATGACGGTTCATGAGCTTTAGAGGTGCTAGCAGATGGATTTTGTTACAAATGAAAAAAATCCAGGCTAAGTGTTTCCCTTTGTTTCAAGTATTTATGCTAAGCTAAGCTAAATGTCCCCTAGCTTTGGCTTCATATTCAATGGGCATATGTGGTATTGATCTTCTCATCTAACTCTGGCAGAAAGCAAATAACATTGTTTTCCATGTCAAACTTTTGCTTTAACACATCATTGGATTTAAATGTAGTATATCCACTGTGTTTCTTAATTGTATGTACTGAAAGCTGAGTACAAACTTTAATTTAAATGACATACATAAACAGTATATGAATGCTGCAAGCCTGAGACAAGAACCCCCAGGAGGGTTTGTTGACACTAGAAAGCTTCTTGTGTTTCCAACTCTAAAGAGAGATGGAGACGATCAACAAGAAGAAAGGGTTTGTAACTTTTAATGAATCCCACTCACTCTCGACTTTCAGTGGAAGTGTACGCCAGAACTGATGTATACTTACAATGTCAGCAATTATATTTGCATCAATATATCTGAAGAAAATCAGTTTGCTTTTGCACTCTTCACATAAAACCTCGGATTTTCTTCAGGATTTCATCAAATTGCTCTGCACAACGAGATGCTTCGTATTAGACTGCAGATGACGCTCTCTGCATAATTAAATGGTGGAGAGATTGTGCACATGGGAAAATAAAATGAAATCATAACATTTGGAGGAGCCCTGTCTGAGGGGTCTAGAATTGAAACGTCTCTTTTTCCATTTCTATTCATGTTGTATTTACATATTTCTTTCCTGATTTTAACTCAAGTCTAGGATTTTGTTTCTATTCGTTACCAAATGGCTTTGAAGTGTGTTGTTTTGTATCCTGTAATGCTCATTCATAATTGCCTCTGTCTTTTAAAGTTCAGTTGTTGATGTCGTGCTTTTGATGATGGTTCTTATTCTTTTTTTTTTTATTTTGTGTCTCATGAAGCCGAAAACATCTTATTATCCCTGCTTTATGCATATATAAAAATCTGCAGTGCACATAATATCCAAACATTCATAACCTTTAACATAAGCTAACAAAACTACTCAACACTAAAAAAGGCAGAAATTTCTTACTCGTGGGATTTTTTGGTGATAAATGAGGACCAGGAGAAACTTGCCAGACCGTATGTGTGGATTTGTTCTTTCCTTTCAGCAGCACAGTAGTATAACTATCAAGCTGCCAGCATCTTTATAAGTCTGCCCTGCTGTCTCTGCTATAGTGCTGTACAGTACCTGATCTCATTGGAGAACTCCTTGTCATAGTGATATCTGTTGCTCAGCTTCCAGTAAAGAAGTCCAATTATTACCAGCAGGATGATGATGAGGAGCAGAGAGCCCACGACGGTGCCGACTATCACAGCTGCTCTGTTTGGAGCTGTAAAATCAGTATGAATAACAAGGAATTATTTCAAAAGCTCTGTGATAGAAAAGAAGTGTGAAGAAACCATTGTACTGTTTATTGTCCAGTGTAGTGATTCCTAACTCTCCTGGCTTATGACTCTCTAAAGTTAAATAATGTCTTCTCACAACCCCTCAGTACAGGTTGTATTGTCTTTATCCGCTGAAAATCATACACCACCAAAAAGTAATTTTTTCCTTCAAGGAAATTCATTTCCTTGAAGAAAACACAACCTTGTTTTACAGGAATAGTTCAACATTTTGGGAAATATCCTTATTTGCTTTCTTGCCAAGACTTAGATGAGAAGAGCAATGCCACTCTCATCTGTGCACTACATTTGAAATGCCAGTAGACTGCTAGCTAAGCTAACAAACTTTGTTAGCTTACAAACAAAGCCAACAAAGCTTTGGAATTGAAATATAGCTACCCTAGCTCTGTCCTGAGGTAACAAAATTATATAAAGCCAAATAATTAACCCATTATATCTCATTTTTTAGTTGTTATCCATACAAATATCAGAGTGTCAAAACATCACGTTGTGTTTTTTACAGGAGGTTATTAAATTTTTCAATTGGAGCAGTAACTTCCTACACATTATCTGGACAGTAGCCCAACTAGTTTTTGGCCTTTCACATTTAGCCTACCTCTAGGCAAAAAGCAAAATAGCATATTTCTGAAAATGTCTGTATTCATTCACTATTGCAATAGTTCTTAGGCATTCTTTAGCAGAAATGTAAAAATATGAAGATACATCCAGTTTTCACTGGATAGAGATATGTGAGCAACTCAGCCAAAGAATGACAAAAACACAATGTTTTCTACTCAGACTTTCATTTCTTAAATGTTTCAAAATCCTCAAGAGGTATAATTAACCAATTTATCACAAGAAACACATCAAACATCCTAGAAAAGTAATATATATATATATATATATAAACTTCTTATTCTATATATTCTCATTAATCATCTTGCAAATTCTTTGTGAGCGTTTTTCTGAGCCTGAGGGCTGGAACTTCTGTTCTAGGATGGCACACTGCACTTGAAATGAAAATGAATGGTTCCCTGCCTAAAGCCAAAAATCTGAGCACTGAGACTTTGAGTTATGGACTCGACAAGATGTAAGACGGAGGTCTGCTCCACAGATCAGGAGGCACACAAAGACAAACTCATTTTATGGATCCACAGAATGCAGTGCGCTTGTTTGAGTCTGAGTCCAGGGATGATTTATTCTATAATGGTATGCTGAATCACTGACTGTACTCCCTAATGCTGCTCTCACAGTCACCAGATTCATTCCCCTATGAGACAGCTCTGGTATGTCTTCTGGTTTCTGGTCTTGCTCAGAGCTGTTCACAGGTATTACTGTACATGGACTGTCCTCCTTTAAGGGAGTTTTATTTTACATTTGCACACTCTTGTCAACTAATCAAAGCTGATGAGATGCTTTTAATCAGCCTTTTTTCATATTTCATTCACGCCTGATAAAGCTGTTAAAGACTGTCGACACACAAATCATTTCAGCATTACTCATGAGTGTGTAATGCTGAAATGATTACTCTGACAAAGTGAAATGATGACAAGTGGATGGCTAAAAACTTCTGTGAATAAAGTTACTTCTTGCCATTGACTGTGACCTCCTGTCTAAACGACATAATAAGGATGATTCACTGATGTTACTGAGCACTGTGATTAAAACCTGCAGTGTTTCTGTGTTTCTGTGTGTGTGTGTGTGTATGTGTGTGTGTGTGTGTGTGTGTGTGTGTGTGTGTGTGTGTGTGTGTGTGTGAGAAGTGGAGCAATGAAGAGATTGTGGCACAACCACAAAGAGAGACGACTTAAGAGGATGAAATCTAGGTCTTTCACGACCATGTGAGTGTGTCATGCATGATGTTTGTCAACAGCAGCCATTCTGCGCAGGGGTGCATGCATTCTCTTACGTTTATTCGCTCTCAGGTTGATCATGCAGTGTTCAGTTCCAACAGCATTGTTCACCTCACAACGGTAGATTCCTGCAAAGCTCTGCGAGTGGTTGCTGATTTTCAGCTCCCCAGTCACACTGTCTGAGAGAGAGAGGCATGCACAAGCATAGATTAACACATGCAGTACACGTTGTGCATACAAGAGCCTGAAATGAAGTAAACAGTAGGTGGGTTTTTCTACATGAAGAATAATTTAAAGGGGTTATTTCTACTTTTTCTCTGATTGATGATGGGGAACAAGAGTGGGTGGTGGTGATTATCGCTTGATGAAAGCTTTGGTCATCGTTGTGTTTATAATACGCCCTCTGAGCAGTGCTACGTCTGCAGGGCAGTTTGGAGGCTACAGTGAGTTGCAATCGCTATCCAAAAGTGACGAGACATGCATGCTAACTTCAGCTAAAGAAAATATGTGATAGAGACAAAAGTTAACATTAACGTTGATTTCCTTCACTTGAGACAGCTCTTGGCGAGTGAAGGAATGAAGTTTGATGCTGAACTCGCAAAATTTATTCTAGACTAGTAAGTAAGCAGCTGTTAATGCTAACACTGGCTATGTAGCCATTGCAAAACTTACAAATAGCTCCTTTAAGGCTTTTTCAAGCTTGTTGTTTTTGGTATTTTATGATTTTGCATGAAAAATATGTAGATTTGTTTGTGTTCACATAGATTTTCACCCATTATGTCTGCAGGCAGCCAAAACTAGATGTGTTTTCCATTGCAGGAGGACACCAATCAATGCAGTATACAGTAAATGACGTCGAGAACGTCTCAGGAAATATTTCATTTTATAAAGAGGGAAATGAAAATGGGGAGAAGAAATCAAAAAGCTGCTGTTGATGCTCCTTGCAATGGAGTTCTGCAAATCATTATTTCCTGATGATATTTTCTATTATTCTGGATGGTTTTCATTTGAATAAGCAGAATAAATGCTGATCCCTTTCTCTTTGAAAATAAAAATAATAAGCACATACTGTACATTGGAAAAGAAGAAGATGTTCATTGAGTATTGCTCACACAGAATCAAATACAGAACCACACATCTCCAGCCCACAGCCCAAAACACAGACACACACACAAACACATGCACACACACACACACCTACACATACATGTTCTCTTTGATGTGTAGTAGCATTGTGACGTCAGCAGAGGTCACACTTACTCTGTGTGGCTGTAGCAGGGATGGGGCCTGCGCTTTCCCTCCTCCACGTGTATTTTAAGGGAGTGGAGCCTTTTGCAGACTGGCAGTGCAGCGCCACAGCCTCGCCAACCAGCTCCCCTCCCTCCACCCAGCACTTAGGCGCAGACGGCTTCACTAAAACCATACAACAAATGGATAAATTTTATGCTGTCATTTCCATTCTGTTTCTTAAAAAAAAACAAAAAAACACTACAGCTTAATAGCTTCAGGATGGAATGGGAGGAACATTGTGATGCTTGGAAAACTGGAATTTACACCATATAAGATAAGTGAAAAAAACTATTTGAGGCATCTTAAAATGAATGCCTTTGTTAGATAATAAAAAAAATATTTGAACATCAATGTTATGGGATGAATCCTTGATGGGGGATGAATGCTTGATGAGTTCATGATGACTGGGCTTAAACCCAACACTGTTCTGTTCTGAAAGGGTGAAAAAGGATAGAAACTGGTATTGATTAAGGTGAGGTTGATTAACATTAAAAGATTTGAAGGTCGTTTCCCCTGCAACATTTCACACGTTTGAGTGTGGTCATCTCAATTTACACAAAAGTAGAAGGAACACATTTTCACACATTTTCATTACCACTTGTCCTGTTCAGGATCATACAAACAGCCCGGTCTATAAAACCACTTTCAGTTTGCTGTCAGCATGAAAACAGCTGTTGGCTGTCGGCTGCCGTATGAGGCTTTGGTATGGATAATTATTTAACAAGGTGCTTGTTTCATCTCATACAGCTTTTGTATCAAGCCGAGTGTTAAAAGTCAGTGTGAGAGTAGAGAACTAAGAAATAATTTAGCTCTAACAAGTCAGTTGTCCCTCTGATTATGCAAAATAAATGCATCAGTTGATCAAAAAATCTGTTTCGTCTAGGAAATGATTTGTTGAACAAGCTCCAAAGTCGAGGCCTCCAGCACTGGATGCTTGTAAACCTGCTGAAACTGAGCTCGATGAAGGTGATTTAGGCTAAGGGTTTTATTTTTGGATATAATTGGCCACATTAGGCTGTTTGGGTCATTTTAAAGTGAAACAAACATTAAATCAGTCATCAGACGTGTCCACATAATCTTTTTTTTTTTTAACTATTTCTGTTCCAAGCAGCCTCATATAATATTAACCTTAATAAGAATTAAATTCTGAGAGACTTACTCGTATAAAAGTCCTGAACAAATGAACAAAAAGGACAAGCCCATACAGAAGTGTAATATATGACATATACTATGTCCCTATATCCAGAGTGATGATATATGTCACCTATAAGGTGATGTATTATTATCACATATATACATCCTCTGGATATATCGAGATAAAAGTTTAGTAAAACTTGTATATGTACATATATAAAAAATATTTATATGATGATTTTTTTATATGGTATAACATGTGACAACAGATGTTTACCATATGAATTAAAAAAAAAAAATCCCATTCTAGGAAAATAGTCTCAGACTTTTGGGACTCACTTTATATAATATCAACATATAGCCTATTGACAGGCTTTGGGGTAGATAGACCTTTTTGTAACATATGTCGCCAATATAAGTATGCACACATAAACATACATATTTGTATCGGCTAGACATTTATGTCAATTTTTGAAATTGTTCCAAGTTCTAATAGGTTTTATGTATCATTTTTACATACATATTTTTATTTCATATGTACATACGTATATTTCATATATTCAATATATATATATACATCACATTTGCATAAGGGTTTCATGTGCAGTACTGTATCTTTTGTTAATCAAATTACAGTAATTGATTAAGTTCAGTGAAGTTATAGAGAAATAAAAATCAGAGCTCTGATTACCTGCAGCTTTGACTGAACATAGAATGAGTTGCTTTAAGAAAACTTACTACAAAGCTCTAAACTCCCCCTTTAAAACTATATATTCTGAGGGACCACATTCCCATCCCTGTAGTTTCAACAGAATACATTTTTTTAACGGAGCCAGATATTTGCTCAATCGTGAAACATCACTGTAGGAACTTATTTGATACAGTATTCAGGATTAAAGTCATAATAAATAAATCTGCCAATGAGGTGACTTTCTTCCACCCGAGCTACTACTCAGGCTCTTCAAACAAAGTGAGTTGGACTAGAATCAAGTAAAGTACTTTACTTCTCTGGCAAATCCTAGGACTGAAGACACAAAAAATGGTTCTAATTGAAGTGTTATTTCAAATTACTATCACCTTTTTTCAGTCTCTCATCAACCTCTTATCCTGTATTGGTTTCAGTCTCAGACAAAGACATCCTACAGTTCATTCCTTCAGTTAATTCATCTAATCGCTGTGGTCAAAACTGTGACCACAGCTTCCTCTGTCAAGGCCCTCATCTCTGTCTGCTCAGTGAGAGGTGGGAAACTGTTAAACAGGAATAAAAATAGCAAAGGTAGAGTTTTGGTTGATGTGTCTTTGTGATGTATTGTTCCAAGTCATGTAGAGCTTTAGTCTTTTTCAGAATGAATGGGTTAAGCACTAGAGAAAATTGCACCATTTGACCTAAAATTAAGGAGCAATTACTCGTTAAATAATATTTCTTTTACAGAGCAAAAACTTGACTGTCAAAAGTCTTTTATAACTGTAGACACTGAGAAAACCATTATCTGAGTTTTTGCTGACATCTATGCGACCTTTAACAAAACTGACCTCCACAAACCACTAATGAGTATATGGAATCTTTGCAGTAATCTTGTAGTAGTCTTAAAAGATAAAACCATACCTGATAGGAGGTACCCTGAAATTTTCTTTTGCAAACTGTGCACTGGCATGTGACAAGGAAACCTTTGGTAGAATAGGCATCCCACAATATCAAAAGTAAATTGTGCAGCTGCTTTTCCCATAAAACCAAACAATAACACAGCTGTCAGATGTGATGGCCATATATGATGCAGTCAGGTGACATGTGTTAACCCCAGCATTCGACCCAATGCCCGGTCTTACCCATTACCACCAGTGACACCTTGCGCATGTCGACTCCAGGTGATTTCTTCACTTTACACTGGTATGTTGCACTGTGAGCAGGTGACAGCAGAGCGATTGAGAGTGAGGCGTCACCCATCGAGGGGTCGTGAGCAGTGAAGCTGAGCCCTTTTGCGAGAGCGTGGTTCCCATGGAGATATTTAGTGCCACTGCTATAGGACATCAGCTGACGGAAAACAATGAATAAAAGAAATATGAGCAACAAATGACCGTGAATGACACTTATTAGAGATGCATTACTTTACAAATGACTAAATGCAACGGTAAAGAGGTGCCAAACCCATCGAGAATTACCACCAACTCTGCAGCTCTACTGAAAGTTTTGGTCTCTTTTAGCTCATTGTTTTGGTTTTTTGGCACATTTACTGTGCAGTTCAGCCTCCACACATGTCAACCTTGTTTCCAGCAGCAACAAGCAGCTGTCTTCAGTAAACAAGCTCTGGTAATCATACTGTACACTACCCACTCAGCACCAAAAAGCAGACAGAAAAACTAGCTGGTGAAGAATGTGTAATACAGAGACATTACAGAGTAACATAGATCAGGAGGGCAGACATACAGCCCCAGATGAATGCTAATGTTGCTGTCTCACTGGAACGATAATGTTTTTTCCTGTCTGCTGGATTTTGTAAATAGCTAATTATCTGCTAACAATCTGCTAGTGATATGACAGCTAATTTTTGAGTTTTTCTGCCCTCTAGTGGACAAAAATATATGAGGGCAGCTTTTAAGTTTGCAGTGGGTAAACATTTTTATTTGTTTACAGTAAAGAGTTGAAAAGGAAAGTACTGTTCAAGTATTCAATTTGCACAAGAACCAGTCATTTACATTGGTCACTTGTCTACAACAGCCCCTGGTCAATCCTTATAAATGTTCTCTTCCTGAGGGCAGAGATGAGGAGGAAAAAAACCTCCTTGCAAGTCTCCAACACTGATGACTTATTTAATTTAAAAGGCAAATGGGATAAACAACTAATTCCTGTGAAATTAAGAAGGTGGTTGGACTTCATCCACACTCCAGTCTCCTGGACTGAATTCTGATTTAGACTAATAGAGGCACAAGCATGTCACATGAGGTTAAGAATTTGCAATGTGGTGTGAAATCTGAATGGATTAGATTTTTTAGAGATGCTTAGGGACTAAGGTTGTATAGTGGTTTCTAGCCTTTATGTTAATCTAGTTGTGTTGCATTTCTTCTGGACCTACAGAGTCTTTTTTAGTCAGTGCACAGGAGGTTAGCTGAAAATACAAAAATACATTAATACATCTTACATTTACTTTTACTCATATGGCAGATGACTTGCAAGTGAGAGACAACACTGAGGCTTCAGTGCAGTAGGAGACCTTGAAGGAAGTACTGAGTACTAAATCCGTTCAATAAGGCAAAGTGCAAGGAGATCAGGTAAAGAAGTGCACTGAAAGTGCAGAGATGAGTCTTGAAGAGATCTTTTTAAGATAGAGTGGAATGCCCAAGCTCTAATAGCAGGGGTGAGCATATATGTCTTCAGCATATATGAAGAATACAGTTCCAAGAATAAATGAAAAGTTAGATCTTTTCTTTCTAGGTTTTTATATTTTCTGTACAATTAGCACCAAATTGAATAAAATCCTTGAATAATATGCTTTTGGAAATTGTTGGTACCTAGAAAATGATTGCAAGTTGATGAATTCTGCTTTATAATCCACATATATGAGACACTAAATATAGATTTATAGTATGATTTGCATCATTCTTGTTCAGCTTCTTACCATCTGATCTTTCTGTGTGGTGTCTGGACTGAGCATAGACCACTCGATGTCAAGTTCTCCGGTGTCAAGGGTGCCCGGCGTGTACCTGCAGCCCAATGTCACGCCCTCTCCCTCAGCCGTCTGGATGGTCTGTGGGCCCGTGGATGTCACCTGCATCCCTTGTGCACACCTCAACTCTTCAGAAATTCAGACAAGTCTTTAAAATTAATCACAGTCACATATCGGCTGTTTCTTAATCCCTGCTTTTAATCCTCAAGGATAAGTATTATTTTTATACATTCACTGAATCACAGTGCATGGTTTCCATGCACACAGTTTTTATGGATAGGTTTAATATTGATTCAGATTCTTTTTCAAAGGATGCCTAACTAAGAAAGCAATAAAAAACACAAACATAGCAGCTGTAGCCAAATTCCACTCAGGAATATATAAGGGATTTAGAGGAATGATATTAAGAGCTTTTTAAGACCCATTTCATACAGTGCTTAAAATGCAAAAAGAGCTCAATAAGCTGCACTTCAAAAAAAAAAAAAATAGAGTCAAAGGTTAAACGTGTGCTGAACAGTTTTTGGTCTTCAGGCTCTGTGCTTCAGTGCATTCAGTTTGAAATAAAATAATGGACACTACATTAAAGAGCCAAGCTTTAATTTGATTCGGTTTACATCAATATTGAATGAACTATGTGTGAGATAGCGCCCTTTTAACACAGAGTGCCCCAATTGCGGGGGTTCAAAAGTAATTGGACACCTGGCTGCTGAATGTTTCATAGGCAGCCGTGCATCTTTTCAACGTTAGGTCATGGACAAAAGAATTCACACGTGCCTCAGAGCTGATTGAGAGCTGTCATTTAGAGCAGTCTGTCAATACAAGGAGTAAATAGATGACCAAAGTGAAGAAGATAATGTGTCTGAAAATGTACATATCAAAGGTAGTTAGTTTTGACTAAAATCAACAGTTGGGTATGGAAACTAAAAAGCAGGGAAACTAGAGAATGGTAAACAAGCTGGGGAACTGTGGAGCACCAGGAAAATCATTTGCATGGTGAAGAAAAATCCCTTTATGACAGCACTGCGAGTCACACATGCTCTAGAGGATGTGGACGCCTGGTGGACATGTTTCCTTGTCAACGATCAAGAGGAGGCTTTGTGACCTCAACCTCAGAGGATTCACCACAATATGCAGACTCCTGCTAAGCGTCAAGAACAGAAAGGCCAGGCAGGAGTTCACGAAAACATATGAAAATAAACAAGTAGATTTCTAGAACAAAGGCCTACGGGGGACTGATGAAACAGAAATACAAATAATGGAAAGAGGGAAGGGTGGAGAGAAAACAGGAAGAGCTGACCCAAAACCACCACCTTGTCTGTCAAACAAGGTTGCTGGTTCTCTCTCAACATGCACACTGGCATATTGATGATCTCACAACTGACGGAAGCAACAGGAAATGCATCAAAAATCATCGGACGACATTTCATCATCCATCCATAAAGATTCGGGCCAATGCACTTTTCAGGGTGAGGAAGTGGAATATCCTTGACTGATAGAGTCAATCACCTGATCAATCTGATTGAGCTGCAGTCCACCTGCTGAAGACCAGACTAAAGACAGAGATCACACAACAAGCATGTGCTGAAGGTGGCTGCAGTGAAGAGAGAGCATCACCAGAGAAGATAAGTGTCTGCTGATGTCTATGGGTAGAAGACTTTAGACAGTCATTGACTGCAAAGGACATTACACAAAGTATTCAATTGAAGATGATTTTATCTGACTTTATGTGTATCTTCAATATTTTCAATATCTGTTTTATATATAGATATATATATATCTATTAGTTTTAGAAGCATGTTGTACAGTAAAAGAAAAGTCATTAACCGTGCAGGGCATTCATTCCAGTTTTTTTTAACACATAAAAAAAATATACATGTGTCAAATTAGACGTGCATTTGAATTAAAAGCCACAACCTCAAGAGAAAAGGAAAAACATATGTCGGGAGTCAACAACAGTCATCTGGAGGCATAATCTCAAAGCCTGATTGGATGGACTGTGAGCACCATGGTAACACATGCACTATGTCATACCACTGAGGCCTAAAGCTCAGCAGAGATGAGACATGAAGCTGATGATCATTTGTACTTACTCAATGCCAGTGTCATGAAATACAGTGGAGTAGTTTAGTAGATAACACAGAGAACAGACAGTGTTGTATGGCTGTGTTGTCTTGTGTTTATGAGCTCATGTGTTTGTTATTCTTACCTGTGCTCAAGAGAGTCGCAGTGCATAGCAAGAAGCAAGAGAGCCAGGGAAGGCAGTTGAGGGAGGAGAATGACCTCCAGCGACTGCAGCTTTGTCTCAACATCGTTTTCCTGGTCCAGATGAAATCAACTACAGCAAGTGGTCAAAAACAGAAAGAGAGTGCATGTGTAACATGTGCTTTCAACTCAAGGCCGGCCTGAGGCATAAGTCAACTAAACGGCTGCTTAGGACCCCCGCAGCAACCAAGTGCACTTCAAATGCCCCACGAAACCTTATATATATATATATATATATATATTTTTTTTTTTTTTTTTTTTTTTTTTTCTATGCCTTACCATAATATGACGTTATTATGACATTTTATGCCTTACTAAACTATGATGTTTTTATGACGTTTTATGCCTAAGTATACTATGATGTTTTTATGCCTTAATATACTATGACGTTTTTATGCCTTACTATACTGTGACGTTTTTATGATATTTAATGCCTTTCTATACTGTGATCTTTTTATGACATTTTATGCCAGACTATACTAAAATGTTTTTATGATATTTTATGCCTCACTATACTATGACATTTTTATGCCTTACTATACTGTGACGTTTTTATGATATTTAATGCCTTTCTATACTGTGATCTTTTTATGACATTTTATGCCAGACTATACTAAAATGTTTTTATGATATTTTATGCCTCACTATACTATGACATTTTTATGCCTTACTATACTGTGACGTTTTTATGACTTTTTTTATGCCTTACTACACTATGACGTTTTTATGACATTTTTTGCCTCACTACGATTACGATCTCTTTATGACATTTTATGCCTTAGTATACTAATACGTTTTTTCATTCCTAACTATACTATGATGTTTGTATGACATTTTATGCCTTACTATACTATGACATTTTTATGCCTTACTATAGTATGATGTTTTTATGCCTTAGTAAACTATGATGGCCTTACTATGTTACAAAGTTTTCATGCCTTACTACACTGTGGCATTTTTATGACATTTTATGCCATGCTATACTGTGATGTTTTATGCCTTACTATACTATAACTTTTTTAGTCCTTACTATACTATGATGTTTTTATGCCTTACTATACTATGATGTTTTAATGCCCTACTATACTGTGACGTTTTTTTGACCTTTTATGCCTTAGCATACTGTGACATTTTTATGCCTTACTATATCATGACATTTTTATGCCTTACTATATCATGCCTTTTTATGCCTTCGATACTATGATGTTTTTATGCCTTACCATAATATGACGCTATTATGACATTTATGGCTTACTAAACTATGATGTTTTTATGCCTTACTACAATGTTGCATTTTTTTGACATTTTATGCCATACTATGCTATGACGTTTTTATGCCTTACTATACTATAACTTTTTTAAGCCTTACCATACTATAATGTTTTTATGATATTTACTATACTACAATGTTTTTATGCCTTACTATACTCTGACATTTTTATGACATTTTATGACTAACTATAATATGATGTTTTTATGACATTTTATGCCTTACTTGTTATGATGATTTTATGACTACTATAGAATGATGTTTTTGATGTTTTTATGCCTTACTATACTGTGTTGTTTTTATAAGATTTTATGCTAGACTATATTATAATGTTTTTATGACATTTCATGCCTTACTTGTTATGACGTTTTTATGACTACTTTACTATACTATATATGTTTTTATGTGCTTTCATGCCTTAATATACTTTGACATTTTTATGACATTTTATTCCTTTGTATACTATGACATTTTATGCCATACTATACTATGACATTACAACCTTTCTATACGTTATTATGACATTTTATGCCTTAATATACTATGACATTTTTATTCATTGTTATACTGTGAAGTTTTTATTACATTTTTTGCCTTAGTATACTATGATTCTTTTAATGACATTTTATGCCTTTCTAGACTATGATGTTTTTTGACGTTTTCATGGGTTTCTATACTTAGACTGTTTGATGAGGTGGGATCATGGTGCAATGGTTAGACATACTACCTCTCAATGAGGAGGTTGTGGGTTCAAATCCCAGACATGTTGTCTTTGTTCATGTTTTTATGACTATTATAATATAATTTTTTTTAAAGTTTTTATGCCTTTCTATACTGTGATGTCTTTATGAAATTTTTTGTCATACTATACTGTGTTGTTTTTATGACATTTAATGCCATCCTGTACTATGTAATTTTATGCGTTACTATACTGTGACATATTTATGCCTTATTAAACTGACATTTTTATAATATTTTATGCATTATTATACTATGATGTTGTCATGACATCTTATGCCTTTCTATATGATGACTTTTTCGACATTTTCATGTGTTTCTATTCAACTCGAGAAGTTGGATCATGATGTAGTGGTTACACATCCTGCCTCTTGATGAGGAGGTTGTGTGTTCGAATCCCAGACATGTTGTCTTTCTTGGTGGAGTTTTTATATTCTCCTGCATTCTACAGGCATGCACATATGCCTGAATATACTGTGATGTTTTTTAACGTGTTTATGCCTTATTATACTGTGTTTTCCTATGACATTTTATTCCTTACTATAATATCATTTTTTCATGACATGTTCTGCCTTACTATACTATGACTCTTTTATACATTACTATAGTTTGACGTTGTTATGCCTTAATATACCATGATGTTTTATTGACGTTTTATGCCATACTATACAAGGATGTTTTCTTCATTTTTATGCCTTACTGTACTATCTTGTTTGATGCCTGACCATACTACGAAGGTTTTATGACCTTTTATGCTTTAATAGACTATGATGTTTTTTTTTGCATTTTTCTGGCGTAGTATACTTTGAAATTTTTTGGCATTTTTATGCGGAATTAA